CTCTTTCCGTTACACTGTGTATGATAAATCTCGAAATTGCAAAACGTTCTGTAGTTCCTCGATTTTCAAACATTCTGACACGAAAAGCCCTCCAGGAAACTTTCCATCTGGCATGCACTGACGGTAACCGTGGCCGGTAAACACAGCTGTCATTTGTATAGACTTGCTATGAAATTATTACGATCGTAATCCGCAAACGGAAGTCAGTAGGTAGCACCACTTAATTATCTGATTGTATAACTTCCTTTTCCGGTCGCAGATTATCCACAGTCTCTGTAAGGCACATAATCGACATAATCAACAGATGTTCGATGATGTTGGGGATGCTTGATCCCAAAAACATATTTGGTAAACATCTTACTTTTTGCAATATGATTTTGGAAATTTGAATTTCTTGTTTTCGCGACAAATTAGCCTATTTTTACCTTCAAACTGTATTTCTGAATTGAAAGGCCCCTTAATGTAATTGGTTCATTGTATCTTTTAATATTCTACTTTGTGACGTTTTCCAATGATATTTTTATGCTGTACATATAAGCTAGAGTTGTGCTTGTTGTTATTCCTTCCTCTGGTTGCTTGCGGAATACTCATTCCTTCTTTTGAACCCGTACTACTCCCTCTAGTTAGCGGGCCTGAGACGCATTGGAATAACTAGCTTATGCTGTTATTGTGTCGCTGCCCCTTCGTTCCGTTTGCAGATTTTAGATGATCTCGTAATTCCTTTAAACATAGTAATGTGGCGACGGCGCGGGTGCAAATATGGATCCTTCGAAAACGAAATCATCCAGTTGTTAGCAGAAAGGAAAACTACGTACACCACACAACCGGGCACTTCTAATTCTACAATTGCAACGTCAATTGATGATATGACGAGCTGCATTGCTGATTTTCACTACGATCCTGATGTTAATATTACTGTGTAGAATTATAGTCTACTTCATTATTAGTACGGCTCTAATAATAGACCTAATAATAAAATTGTAGATTTGTCATGATGTAACTGCCTAATCTTACGAGATCTTGTGTGAAAGTCACATAATTAGTTGCATTGACTTATCGTGTCGTAACAATTAACAATATATGATGGAAAACACATTTAGGCTGGAGATAGAACGATCTATTTAATGTGAATAAAAGAGGTAAGTTAAACAAGAATGACCACGCCTGAAACGCTGAGCCATGTCATCCGATGAACTGAATTTCGAATTAGTGTCCCCGCGTCCACCCTTATTGACTTTTTCTTAGTGCTACATGTTGAAAGTCTATTTTCCCAGTTATCTCATGCTCGGCTTTGAGGATTACAGTTAGGATTCACTGCTACAGCAACTGTTGATATGTGGTCACAGAGGTATGAGAACTTATTTAAACTTGATTTTGCTAACCAATATGATGCTTGAAAGATTCGGTTGCTACTTCGGAATCTGGGTCCAAGTGAGCTAGACAGGTACTGTAATTTGAATTTGACTTTGAACTCGTATGACCGCTCATTCTCAGACAGTTATTGTGTCTACAGTTTGGAGATAACTCCCTATTGCCCAACGCATGTTATAGATGATTGAAACAGGTTATGAAGAAAGATTCATTTCCTTACTCATGTGGGCATCATCAAACGCGAATACGAACGATTCCGACTGAAATTACTTACTGAAGATCACTTCAAAACCCTCATTCTCATCTACAGTTCACGTAATTCAACAACGATTATCCGACTCAGCAAAATCCGTAACTGATAGTATAGAATCCAAACTACGGTTTGGATGTTGAAGAATAGCCGACCGGGGACTTTAGACACGCGCCCTTTCCCATCGAAATCAAAACAAGTAATCGGGTAAATAGCGGTTCTATAATTCATCATAAATTTAAATGTAAATCGTTACCTAAACAAATATTACCACCCGGCTATTCAACCAATGATTGTTCAATAAATCAAATCTAAATTACAATAAATAAAGAAGTTGATAGAAGATGAGGAAAAATTACCAGTTACAACGAATGAACGTTATTCTATCCTGACTGGATAGATCACACACAACAGGAGGAACAAATCAATATGGCTACCGCCAAGAACAAGTGTCAAGTAAAACAGCACAGATGCAGTTCAGGAAGAAGCACAATCTTAGTGAATGCGTAATAAAAACAAAACTATAATAGAAAATACAAGTAATAACAATTCAAATGTAACCAAAATACAACAATGTACAACTAAGGGGATCAATAGGAACAAAGTACAAGTATATACATGGAGAGATTTTCACCAACACACAAAACATTCAAAATGGATCTTACAGATAGTTCGATCCCTTCTCATCCGATCTCAGTACAGAGGACGAAGACTAATTCTTATGCTCCCTGCTGGCATTATGGTGCATGGCATTATGTACGAATTTGTTCGTTTAAACAACATCGTTGCTAAAAATATAAATCCGTTGGCTACGGAGGTGGATTTCGTCAAAAGAGGAGTTCAAGTCGGTTCAGAAGTACTAAAACGCCAGTCACCAGATCCTGCACAAATTCGTTGAACTTATGAACATCTTGTAAGAGCTCAATCCCAGGTGAGAGGGAATTTATTGCCCCTAACAATAATGCGCATCCATTTAGATTGTGAATAAATAGTGCACCAGACATTATCATTTTCTTACGGGAATTTTGGGTTAAAATGGGTGGCACAAGCACGATTCCGGTGACACAAAAACATCGCACAGAATGTGGTAATTATCTACGTTTGTTGATACAGTTATATTGTGATGTTTATTCCCGCGACTTGGCGTTCACTGGGGTATGTTACATAACGCCAGATGATCTAAATTTGCTTGGTTTCGATCCTTTCGACCCCCTGGATTCAACTGACGCCCCGTTAAGTACCGTATGCCATCTGTTAAAGCAACCCTACTAACCTGAAGCATATTCGATGAAGTTAATGACACAGTTTTCAACCATTTTTCCGCCTGTGTTGTGTCGGTGCTCTGCCATGAAAGGAACCCTGAGGTTTGAGCCTGGTGGATTAACCTGCCTCCCGTCCAAAGAAATCAGTGTGTTTTAGGTATTCATTCATACAGTTATTGATAACTGATAACTTTGGCCACAGTAGTCCAATTTTATTTATAAGGAAACGAATGGCAAGAGAGTGGTTCCACCGGGATATCAGAGCGGCTTACAAAAATAATGAGTGACATTTCAGGGACAGAAATGTTCGTCATGAATGTGTACAGGCAGAAACCACCACAGTCAGAAGTACTCGTCGACAAACTAAGATAATCGGTTTATTTATAGCAGTCTTTCATCATACGGCAGAATTGCTGACTCGGAAATCAACTTAGTTGCATTGTTTTGAACCTTTTTCAACAGTCTGCTGTCTCTTTATGAGGAGCTGAACATTTGGGTGCTACAGTCGAGTTTAGAGTGAAGAAACACTGTATGCAACATCAAAATAATCTTGGTATCAATATGGATAAAAGCTCTACGTATTGACCTATGGTTTCTAATACCTTGTGAAGCTGCAACATAGCAGCGTGCAAACGTTCTCAAGTCTTGGTTAACGATGACTCGTAGGTCGTTGTGTGTATGAACAATATGCAGCTCGGTATTATACACTATTTACGTATGTTTAATTCAATGACGAGCAAACAAGATCGTGCGCCTAGTAGCATTTTTCAGCTTCTGCCAAATACTAGACCATGCACTTGATTTCTGCCGATTGCTTAAGGTCTCTAGACTAGAATTTTTTATAGGCTTGACTTCAGAACGTGTGTTTTGTCTTTAACCAACAAATCGTTGTTGACAAGCATGTGAAAAACCATAAGGAGGACAGGATGGTCACTCCTACCTCGAGGAGACATATAATCGCGGGCTCCGGGGAAATGAAGATATTTTTATTAACACGTTTCACTGGAGGAGATCAATCTCTTAACACATCTTGGTTAGCAAAACGTATTCGATTGTCCGTGCGAGTACCCATCTGTTTGTGTAAGTTTTCATTACATTTCTAACGCTATTGATAAAAAATGTTTTCAAGCCACTTACCTCTGTCATAAATGACCAATAGGTTTCAGAAAAATGGAGTATATTTTCCACGTTTTCAGGGTACTTACTAAACATGAGTTTCCTTTTGAATTGTCTACCGCACACCTTAGACAACGGAAGATGGTCGGGCAATTTCGTGGACTGATCAAAGTTAAATTTTAACACTGTCGGATGCCAGTTCAGTTTTCCAAAGGTCAAGCGTACCCAGAAGATCGAAGATTCTGGGTTTGAGAACCGTGTGAGTTATACTCGATGCTCACTGCTCAGAAGTCCCATACCAGGTCGAAATGGTTGTTCAGTGTTTCTAGGTTTTTAACGGTGGTCTAGTACTGAACGACTCATGACTTACTAAACTTCAACGATCTCCACATTACCATACTTTGGTACGATGTACATCAATTTTTTAATGGTTGGAAAAGTTTGACTTTGACTTTCGTGACATAAGTTGTTCAGGGCTTAAACGGAATAATTCAGTTAAGTATCTAAAAATACTCTGGTGTGATCTAAGTTGAGTGAGATTATAACTTAAGCTGCTTTTAGCTCACTCAAAAGTGAGCTTACAGATTTCAAAAAATTGTAAGTTTTAGTACAAATAACAGTTTTTCACCATAAAGTATGAGTCAAGGCGTTCAAAATGAACGTGAACTAAGAAATACCAAACATTTAATATAAAGCCGTGAATCATCAATCACAAGATCCCCATTATATGTTATGCTTGCGCAGAAACGTATAAAGCCATTTCTCTACCGCGAGAGATTTATGATGAATCTGCTTCACTAAAACGACAAAGTGTACCACAAGACTTCATATCATTAAAACACTTAACATAGTATTTAGTAGTCTAGTATTTCATTAACTATCTTACGATAACGCTTTCAACATTTTAACAGTGGGTAATAAGTTTACGCACAGACTTTTAATGATTTGTTGAAATACAGGATCGTAATTGTTTAGACGCATTAATCATTTTGACTAAGTACGTTCTGGTTACTTAGATATTAAGGTCACAAGTAAACCCCGATTAATATGACTTGGTCCTTATGGTACTTTCAAAGGAATAGGGAGCGATTCAAACATTTGTTAAATAAGCTGATACGAAACTCTGTCTCAAGGTATTTTATTTTGGCTCTATTTATACCGTTTAGTGGTCAGTGCATCGTTATTCCAACGTGTTTTCACGAGGTAGAAATTGTACAACTTATATAAATTTTTAAAGCATGCATTGAGGAGTTTACTGCTGGAGGGCTTAAGCCACAGATGCTTTTCCATAGTTAGATTCGACGTGTGTAATGCAATCCACGTTGAGGACAAGTAAGTATACCTCAAGTTTTTATTTTCCAGTCAGTTCACAGTGTTTTTTAAGGATACGACAGGGCGAATCATAATGCTTCCCAAGCTGTACGACATTTTATGAAATAATTTTCAGATTGCCTAATTTTTGTAAGGATAGTGAGGTTGTGAAATTGGGAGAATCACCCTCAGGCGTTTGTCATTTGTACAATAACAAACGCAACTCAACAAACTTCACCATGATTTTTTTAAAAAGCATAGATCAGGAAAATAGATACTATCACAGTTATCTTGAAAATTTCGTTTTTCAGGTAAGATTGGGTTTATAAGTTTATTGTTACAAAGTTAAAGTTATATAACAAGATGTGAACATTAGTAAAATGTTCGACGAGATTATACATTATAAATTGTAGTTTTGTTGCTAATCACCAACTATCAGTATACGTTAGATTTCCGACCGAGATTTCCGAACGTTTTGTCCACAAATGTTCAAAAAAACATTAACCACCTGTAAGTGGATGCAAATACATAAGACAAAGGAGACTCAAATTAAAGATGAACATGTTAATATAATTGACCTACAAGAATAGGATTTGCAGCCACAGTGCGTCTCGATAACTCAAGCAATAAAAGATAAAGACGTTAAATAAAACGATCATTTATATGGCATTTGTATGAACTAATAATTTCTTTGTACATGATGACTGCTTGATTTCCAATTCCAAATACAGTGCGTTCTTTCGTGCTCATCTAGTACTTTTTGGTTAAATTGCGTTATTTCTGGGATTCCTAGTCTGTACTACAATTCAAATACTCCTAATTATCAAATTGGAGTCGCGATGGAGCCTGTGATTTAGGATTACATTGAAAGGTTCGAAATCTAGGCTATGACCAAGGGGGATTTCGAGGATGTTAACATTGTGGCATATTTCTTCACAATCATCGAAAAAGAAGCATACAGTTCATTAAAAACACTGGCTTCACCAGAAAGTCTATTTGGATTCCTTATGCAACTCTTAAGGAACTACTGCTAGACTATGTAAAGTATACAAATTTCAAATGCAGTAAAGGAGAAAAATTCCGTAAAACGATTCATCGGGACATCGAAAATTCCACTACATTACTACGTTGTCCCAATGCATCGCGTACTCAAGGTTATACAGATAACTCATTGAGGAGTTGTGGTGCAGGTCACAAAGATGGGCACAACTTTGATAAATGTTTGTCCTGTGGAAATTTTCACTCATTCAATTCATGTGAATTTCATAATTCTACATGCTTTAAATGTGATGAGATTGGACACATTCAGTCAGTTTGCAATACTGCGGTTCATTTTGCTTCAACTAAAGCTAAAATTTGTAATTGTTATCCTATTAAGTTTAGTTTTTTTACTGATCAGTTATCCACGACTTCGAAAGGCGGTATAGAGTCACATAGCAGTCCAGAATTAAGCGAAACTCAGAATCACTGTGGGATAAACATTTATAATCAATCAACTTCTTACCAAATTTCTCATGTTATTGTACTAGATATGGTTTGTCCTGATGATTCACATATTTATGGTAAAATTTCCTATAAATCTGAGGAAAATATGTTGAGTGAATCAAATCGTGATCAAAAATCTAACGCAGTTTTGATAGATGCTGATTTTTCTAGTGATTCATTATTCTTTGATGAAATTCTTAATAAATCTGAGGAAAATATTTCGGAATAATCAAATTCTGATGTTATGTCAAGTGTCGTTTGTTCTCACAGTGGATTTATCTCTAGTGATATCCCTAATGAGTGTGACAAATATGTTCCGAATGAGTTGAATTCTAGTCACATTCCTGATGTTATTGTATCAGATATTGGATATTATCACAACCAAAGTAAGTTGAGTAGAATCCCTAGTTGGTGGTATGATGAATCAGAGGAAATAGCAATTTTTTGCAAAGTAATCAGAGAACCAGTTTACCCAAATATGAAGTTTGCACAGACAGAAAATTCAAATCGAGTTCAAGATTATCCTAATGAGTATGAGGCAGATGCCTATTTTCCATTTTGATTGTTTTGTAGTGAATCAAGCCTAGATGAATCACATTTGTTGATTACACATATCAAGGCATATTTATCTGTGTATTCTAACGTGAAAAGCAAAAAGGACTATGTATCATAATTTTTATGCGAGTCAAATTCACATTATGGAATACCTCAAATTATATGTCAGTGTGTATCCTCAAATACTCATAGATGATAATCGAAGTGTGAAATATGAAAAGTAATATAAATTGGGAACGTCAAAATGGTCATGCAACTGCGACATAAGGACCCTATATTATTTCTTGGGGGTGGTTAGTGTTGGAAAGTCTGTGATTTTAAATTCTAGATATCCATCGTTTCACTACACAGCCAACATAGTGATTGTATCCAATTCCGGGACCCAGATCATAGAGAGTCTACATCTAATACACGGTCGGACAAACACGATGAACCTAAGAAAAAGAGGAACGATTGAGTTCAGAGTTTTGGATTCTCATTCATACTGTGGCTAATGTGGTGTTTGTATGAAATAATAATTTCTTTGTACATGATGACTGCTTGATTTCCAATTCCAAATACATACGTTCTTTCGTGCTCATCTAGTACTTCTTGGTTAAATTGCGTTATTTTTGGGATTCCTAGTTTGTCATATAAGTCAAATACCCTTAGTTATCATAAGTCGTTTTAAAATGGCAGCCCGTATTCAATATAATTAGTTAGACATAGTATTCTCCTCGCTAGAAATGACAGATCTACACAACCTTAAACATAATATTGTGAAACCCGTTTACAGAACAAAAGATTAGGTAAAGAAAGTGTCCAACATTTTTTCATGTTATGTCTTGAATTACAATTTAAGATGTGTCCTTTAAAGTTCGAACAAATATGGCGTCTCGCTTATCTTTTTAAAACATTACAATTGGTTTTAGGGGTGAAAGAAATGAGTGAATATGAATTTCATCACTTTTAGAACCTCTCATTCAGCCTTTTAGATGTACCACTAATTTAGTAGACTGCTCCTTAAATTTACTCTTAATACAGTTTAGTTGTTTCTTCATTGACAGCAAATTTCAAAACATCCCTTTCATTGGAAATCTTGAACAGTTAATATACCAATAAGATACTAGAATAGATATTCAAGAGACAACAATGTAACACAAAATAAATAGTCATCCAGTTTTTAAATACTTGGTGCTGAAAATTTATAGTTGGTTTTGAAATCGATCATTAATTGTTATCGAATTTTTTCTTATGCCTTATGTCTATATATGTCCCGTTTATTCACAAATTTTAGAACAACAGTCGTTGACTAAATGTTTAGGTCCCGCCTGCTTGAATAATCAGATAAGTTCCTTCTTATAACCACAGCTGACATTCCGTGGTAAGATGGGTAGTGATTTGGTTTTTAATAAGAAGTGCTTTAACTACATTAGTCATTGTAGGCTCATTAGGCTATCGATCGATTTAATTTTTTGGTCAACAACTCAACATTGGCACTCAAACGACAGTGGATATATTTGGTTACATGTGATGAAAGCTTGACAAATAATTACGATTTGAAACTTGTACTTTTAGCGTTATACTTAAAGAAAACTTTAGCCGCTTTTGAATAAGGGTGTAAAAATCCTCTCATGTCATAGACATGAAGAGCTGATAAACGTCATTTAAGGTTTTTTTCATGGTAATTTAATTTCGTCGTATCTTTTTACCTGAAATATGTGTTAACAAGTAGCCAGTCATGTGTAAGTTTTATACGAATACTTTACATATGATTTATGTAAATTTACGAGTGAAATTATTTATGAAGTAGAAAAGTTTAGGCAAACAAATCCTCACTCATATACACTGTTACACTAAGATACATTTTCAGTGTCCTGAAGAAAACTATCATGCTATGACTGATAAAAATCGTCCCAAACGGATTACATTAGAGACCTATAATCTACTGAACAGTCATATATTTGCAATCAGAAGTTGTAGGATTACATGAATGACAACATAAAGGCAATCGGGATTCTTGAAGGTTACTGTGCATCACTTAACAAGTTAAGTACTTTACTAACTGATCCGTAATCAATAGATATGGTAAAAGGTTTATTACTTGCTATATTAGTCACATTTATTCTCGATGACTGGGAATATATAAATACAAATATTCCCGAATAACTAGCATGCACAGTAGCATTAAACAACTCAAGTGTAATAGGACTGATTTGAAATGACTGAACTGAAATTGGAATAACACAAAAATTAAACCCCCTTGTAGTTGATTTGAATTTATGTTGACACTGGCATTTAGAATCACCAGCAGTTGTATTAAAATGGATATAACACCGGCTATGGGATAACCATAAGTTTTATCCTAGTGAAGTAAATCAAGGACTGTGTTAGACTGATTTAATCTGCATTTCATTGAAATAGATCTTCCTTGTTCAGAGTGCCAATTTTTCAGTGTCATAAGTACTTATACATCGATATGATTAATAGATAGATAGATGGATAAACGGTCAGTCAAGAAAAGGAATATTGGAAAGATTCACATATAGATCACTTGAATTAATTAGACATTTGAATATAAGTTAACCAACGGAATCGAATTAATTCATCTGACAGTTACATGCTTGATCAGATATTGTATTCCAAAATTAGTATGCATTCATTTTCATTTAACATGTCTGTGTTTAATACCATAAAGCTATATGATAAATAAGTGGGGAACGGGAATAATGGAACTATAAAAGTGATACTAATAAAACAAGTATAGTTAGAACATGGAGAGAAACGAAAATGAGAAGAGATTTGCAAATCTATGCGCATTCAACAAATTGGTTATAGGCAGCACAATATTCTCACACAAACGCATATAAAAAGCTACATGGATCTCACCGGATCACAACACAGAGAACCAGATAGATCGTATTTGTATCAATAAAAAATTCAGAAGGACGATGGAAGATGCGAGAACCAGGAGAGGAGCTGATATGGCTTCAGATCACCAACTGGTTGTTTGGGCCAATATCAAACTGAAGCCAAAGAAACTAGACAACTGGTGGAACGGCATTACAAAGGTTCGACACAACCTTCCTTCGAGATACTAACAAACTCAACGAATTCAAGATAACTCTCAAAAACAGGTTCCAGGAAAATTTGGGAGGAAGAACAAGTGCCACCGACAAACTGGAAAGAAGGATACCTCGTCAAGATACCAAAGAAAGTAGATCTGAGCAAATGTGAGAAATATAGAGACATCACATTACTATCAGTACCAGGAAAAGTTTTCAACAGAGTTTTTCTGAACCGAATGAAAGACTCAATAGATGCCGAACTTTGAGATCAACATGCTGCATTCCGTAAGGATCGGTCGTGCACAGATTAAATCGCGAGACTACGGATCATCGTCAAACAACCAGTTGAGTGGAAGTCGTCACTATACATTAACTCCCTTGACTATGAGAAGGCATTTGACAGTATGGACAAGAGATCATTATGGAAACTTCCTCGACACTATGGAGTCCCCGAGAAGATTGTCAACAATATCTGAAACGCATACGGCGGACAACCGTGCAAAGTCGTGCATGGAGGACAGCTGACAGATGCATTCTAAGTAAAGACCGGAGTCAGACAAGGCTGTCTACTCTCCCCCTTTCTATTTCTTTTGGTGGTTGACTGGATTATGAAGACCTCGACATCTGCGAGAAAACACGGAATACAATGGACAGCTCAGAACCAATTAGACAATTTGGACTTTACAGATGAAATAAGTAAGTAGGTTAGTACACGATTAGAAAGCATTTCTTAGTTTCATGATTCACAAACTGCTGAGAAAAACTCAGTTTAATGATATCCCAGTAACATCAATGAACAACCGGGCTTGTGTATCCATGATTAACTAAACATCTGCAAACGTACATAAAGAAGTTTATGTATTTCGCCAGTGAAATTAGTTAATACTTCATGTAAATAATGTCAAAATTAGTAAAAAGGAACAAAACCCATATTTGTATCTAAACTCTATACACCTTGAGGACAAATAATCATCGGTTCTTTCCCCTATAGTGTCTTGGACGTATACAGTTGAGGATTACCACCACACTAAGATGAATCAGCTGGCCAATGAAGTAACACATTAAAGCCTAAAGTTCTAATTTTAATTTAGTTTGCTTGCTTATGTAGATTTATTTAGCTTTGTTTCATTAACTTAGTATTTTTGGTGCTATAACTTTATTGGTTTTATTATCTAGTCACGAAATTCGTTTTCTTATGATGGCCATTTTATTTCATACAACATACCACATATATGGTTATGTATCCGGATTCGAGGTACATTTTTTGTATAAGAGGTAATCACACGATTTTACTGCCCAGTGTGAAGTAAGTGGAGAGTGTTTTATGCCTAGGACCTAATGATTAAAAACTGAGTACTATGACCGCTAAGACCAATTTAATTGATTATCTATTGATTACATACTAGCAACATAATGCACTACATGTAAAAATACCGATTGAAAGGTACCGATTAATCGAAAATTTGTTGACTAATTGTTTACTTTTAAAAAAGAACCAATTTTGTCATAAAGATATTGATCATTCTTATCGGTTTACCAAACAAGGTTAGAATAGTTGACTTACAATGAATAAATTGGCTTCAATAGTTGAAATCATAAGTCAATTGAAGCTAGACCATCATGGGAAAACTGGAAGCACTGTACGGCTGTTTCATCCTAGTGTTGGACTCCTCAGTAGTGAGCATCCACGATCCCATGCTCTGATGAGGAATTGCACAATAAGACGGAACAGCCGTTCTGTGCTTCCAGGTTTTCCATGTTGGTGTAGCTTCAATTGATTCATGATCTCAACCATAGAGATTACTATAATATCCACAAAAACCCTTCTGATATAAAATAAATTGATAACATTAAAAATAATTCACTCAGATTTATTTTTCCTCAGGAAACTGTTCAGTGTTATGAACGTGGCAAACTTTTAGCCGATATTAGAATGATTTACAAAAATTTTATTGAATCTCTACCAATCAAATTCTCGAGGTAAGTAGTGAAATACTGATTCAATTTAAAATGGAATCCTAATAATTGAATTCATGAGTCAATTGGAGCTACACCACCATGGAAAACCGGGAAGCTCTGGACGGTCATTTCGTCCTAGTATGAGAACTCCACAGCAGCACGCACCTACGACCTCACCTAGCGAGATTCGAACTCAGGACCTATCAGTCTTGCACGCGAAAGCTTAACCAATAGACCATTGACTCAGCATCCAATAGTGTTAATGTCTAACTTAAATCAATCCACGAAATTTAGCGACACATCCACCATTGTCTTCAGTTAGTTACTATCTCACAACATACCTGGTTGAACTCTATTGGTCATGGCTTCTCACTAGAACTCCAGGAAATACCTATAGGTCCTGGATTCGGATATTGCGGGGCGAGATCGTGGATGCGCACCGCTGAGGAGTCCCACAGCAGGACGAAATGGCCATCCTGTGCTTCCAGGTTTTCTAGGTGGTCTAGTTTAAATTGACTCATGATTTCAACTATTAAAAATTACTATTACTACTATTAATATTGCTCTGATTAAAATGGAATTATCTTTTTGTAGTTTATTCACTGAATTATTCTGTCAAGAAATACTATGTCAAAAAACTTTACAACTGAATGAACAACATGTCAATGAAACTATGAATATTTTTCAGTAAGTTAAGTATAGCAAAATTATTATTCTAAAATAAAAGTAAGATTAAAGCGATGTGTGAAACGAACAAAACATATAAAATGGAAGAAAAAGGCATTGCAATTAAGGTACGAACTTTTTTATTTATTTAAATACATAAACATTGGTACAAGGAGGCACCAAATACATATGCGCCACATAAATTATTCGATTTATATGAGGGCCGGGACACTACCTGGGTGCCCAAACCGAAACAGGTGGTTCCCACAAGGGGCCATACACCGAGTGTTTGACCTAAACGTCAAATCCACAAGGCAGTGGAGCAACGTCAGGAGATGCAGTCACATGGTAACCGGTGACCAACAACTAGTTCATACGCCATTTGTTCCCTCAAGATTCTTAAGGCTATGTACACTATTGGTTTGGAATGGGAATTCTCCAACTCCCCTAGGTGAATCCTCCATATCCACCAACCCAGTTAAAGCGCCAGACATGCGGTTTTTGTCCCCTAATTTTCGTATACAACACCCGTGGTATGAGTAGGCAGTGAGTAGAACTTTCCTATCAATGGTTGTGTGCACATGGTCATGGGAGCGCATTTGGAGAGTGAGAGCTGACTCTCCCCACTCTCGACCGTATCAGGGCATTCGGGAGCTATGAATTACTTTTTGTAGTAGCTAAACTATATCAGTAAATTCTCTTTTTTTAAATTAGCTTAAGGCTAAATTAAGTGAAGCATCAATGAGAGAATATTTACTAAGTGAATTTAAACATTATTATACAAATCAACGAAAACATTCTAAAGACAGGTTGGAAAATATGAAAAACAACTACAAATTATGGAACAATTCGTTGAAAGTACTTAATTATCATGTAAGTTATTGTGTTTGTGTTAATCTTAATGTTTTTAGTTCATCGAACCTTATTATTGCTTAGTGTAATAACCTTTAATAAGCTTATGATGACCTAGGAATGTCAATTGGGTTTGTCTATTGTCTAAATATTGACAATCAATGAATTCCCAAAATTGTTTACATATCAGTTAGTGAGTACTGAGCTTCCAGGTTTTCAATGGTGGTCTAGCTCAGATCGATTCATGAATTCAACTATTAAAGTTGCTACAATCTCTACAAACCCCACTCTGACCATAATCATCATGTGCTCATTAGTGACTGGCTTCAAGATTATTTCCTGAAGATCTGGTGAGAAACCGTGACCAGTACAGTCCATTCTGTGTCGAATAGAGATAGGTGCCGATCTTAAACAATGGACGAATGGTTACGCAACCACTCATGTATCAATTGAAGTTAGACATTAATATCACTGGATACCGGCTCAATGGTCTAGAGATCGAGAGCTCTCGCGCGAGACCGAAGGTCATGGGTTCGAGTCCTGCATGTAGGATTGTGAACACGCACAGATAAGGAGTCCCATCGTAGGACGAAACGGTCGTCGAGTGCTACCATGTTTTCAACTGTGGTTTAGCTTATATGGACTCATGAATTCAACTATTCAAATTACTACAATCTCCACAAACTTTATTCTGATCTAAATCTCTTTTTGGCAATAGGTTTCACCTACTACCCTATAATAGCCTGTTTTCAGACACTACTAAATTAAGAATCTCTAATACTGACAGTTTTTTCGGATAAAATAATCGATTTCTTTGTCTCTATTGATTATTAATCATAAAAAATTTGGTCTACTATTTATTATTTATTTATTTAAACACATAAACATTGGTACAAGGAGGCACCAAATACATATGCGCCACATAAATTATTCGATTTATATGAGGGCCGTGACACTACCCGGGTGCTCAAACCAAAGCAGGTGGTTTTCTTAGGAGGCCACATCCTGAGCCTTTGACCTAAACGTCAAATCCACAAGGCAGTGGAGCAACGTCAGGAGATGCAGTCACATGGTAGTCGGTGACCAACAATTGGTTCATACACCATTTGTTTCTTCAGGATCCTGGAGCAAGTCCATGTACACCATTGGTTTGGAATGAGGGTTTTCAAACTCCCCTAGACGGACTTTCTGTCTCCACCAATACGGTTAACTCGCCAGACATTCGCTTTTCATTCTCTTAATTTCGTAGACAACACCGTCGCAACGATGTGGCAGTGAGTGGGACTCTTGGCCGTAGCAGGGCGTTTGGGGGCTTGTTCTACTAACGTTTTATGGAATCTGCAATGAAAATATATGATCAATGTTTTATTTATGCACGGTAATAACCTAATTAACTTCTGTGTATTTCACATCTGTTATCCAAACAACTTCTATAACTACTCGAGGAAATAATAAAAATGACTTCAATGACAACGATTGCATAATTACAAAAATATGAAGTTTTTTTTCTCATTCGTTAATTTTAAAATGAATCTTGTAACTTACTATCAATTATAGGTTTACAGTCAAATATCGAATGTTCCAAAGTCAAATATATCAAATTTAGCTGTTATATGTTTTAAATTACAACAGACTGTTGAAATATGGGGGTTTATTGGTGCTTGGTTAATAGAATTATTAAAACTATATGATACAACAATTTTGAATCGAATTGACAAGATCATATGGAATGATTGGTATATACATTTTGAATCTGTAGAAAAAGATCTTTATATTCATGATCAAGAATGTAAACTACATTTACAAAAACTAGATTCTATGTTAAAGAGTCTAGATACATACTTTAAACATGACAGGTTAAATATTACATAATATTTTGACTATTTTATTTTTGTTATTATTAAGTCATTAAACAGATTTTTACAATCTTTCCAAGAGCAAACAATTGAAGAAATATTGAGAATGGTGAACTGACATCAATTTGGGATGCATTTTAGAAGTGAATTTAGTGGTGTATACATTAGGTCAAGTTATTTTGGATTCATTAAAGTGTAAATCAGCATAAAAATTTCCCATAAAGTCACTGGTTACCTGCCTAAAACCAGTTCCATCTACTAACCAAAGGACGGGTTTACTGTGTAGCAGTTCGTTCCGTCCTACTTTATGGCAGTGAAACATGACCGGTAAGAGTAGAGGATATTCGTAGGTTACTAGTATTTGATCATAGGTGTCTTCGAAGCATTGTTCGTATATCATGGGACCATCGAGTAAGTAATTCAGTTGTTAGGAAACAGGTACTAATTAAGAATGGCAAATCAATTGATGAAGTAGTGAAACTTCATCAGTTGAGATGACTGAGACGCGTGTTACATACGCGCAACCACCGACTGGTGTAGCAGTAGGTTGGAATGAAGTTAGGGGTGGCCAGACCAAAACGTGGCACAAATCCATGAAGTCACTGACAAATGGACTGAGCTATGTTGGTAGGTGTAGACTACGTGGTAAGGGACCGCGAGATGATAGCAACTGGTGGTTAGAGACCTTGAATGACATGGTTCAAAATCGTTTGCAATGGCGCAGGTGCATCCACTCTTTGTGTTATCCCAAACTCTAATCTTCTGAATTCTTCATATTCTTAAGTTTTTCTCTTTCCAAATTTATTTCATTGGACTTTACTCCTTGAATAACATCTTCAAACCCTAATCTTTCCGATTACTGCTTATACTTTTACTGCCTCTACCGCTATGGGATTTGAATCGACAATTGTATCTGTGTGTTGGTGTGGTATGGTAACTCGAACTGATGTACGTACATAAGAAGGTCTACATTGTTGCTGACTGACTGACTGAGTGGTTTTGATGTTGGATACATACGATAAAAGTAATCTCTGATCTAAAATTGTAGGCCGCGAAAATCATTATCTATCACAGCTGATTTTTTTGACCAACATCAATTAGTCACAGAATCTATTCACAAACAACAAATTTCGACGAAATAATTAGCCAGTACGGTATGCAATAATAAGTAAGTCATTTTTAGTTCTTAGTGCTAAGGATACTAGAATCTCGCGAGGCGGGATCGTGACCTACGCACTGCTGAGGAGTACCACAGTAGGATGAAACGGCCGTCCAGTGCTTCCATTGTGGTCTAGTTCCAATTGACTCATGATCTCAACTATTAAAATCAATATGGTTCCCTTGTTCCACGTTTATTTACAATTTTATACAAACAGTCAACTTTTATGTATTTCTCTTTCTTAGACTGATGAATACACAGAACTGTTTAAATGATCTATTAGACTTACTGTCAAATTTATTAGAAGTAAGAAGTTAATCTTTCATTGATTTCCTAGTTTTTAAGTAAAAATTTTGTTCTTTCTGTTCAAATGATTTCATATTATTTATTATATTTCTGCAGCAATATGGAAGACTCTCCCAGTCTCCCACATTGTACCAAGTTTCCATGTACTTAAATTAATGGTTGCTCTGGTTATCAGAACAGGCATCAGCCGAAGGAAATCGGCTTTCACCATGAGGCATCATAACTCTTTTACATAAAGACCTTTTAACTCTCAGGGCATAGTTTAAATGGTTTGAATTATTTTTTCTGGTTAAGGTTTTTTTAGCGAGTTAGTTTTCTATAAGAAACATAAGTCACTTTGGATAATTCTATCATATATTCGTTAGTATTGCTACTTCAAATTATGGAACTATCATAAGTTTCCTATACAATTAGAAACATCATCTATTAGTAGTTGAAAAGAATAATTAAGTAGTATACTTTACAAATTTTTTTCTATTTGTCTTTGTCAAGGTCAGCAATGAGTGTCTAGATTTATTCAATGGAGAGCGTGTATTAAATATTGAAGAAAAACTTGTAACAATTGACCATATCCAAAATTACTGGTTTGAAATGTTTTATCAGTCGTCTCATTGTGATGAATTAATGCTTGAAGACTCTACAAATTATGAAAAAGAAATAACTATACAATTACAAAAAGTAATGTGTGTAGGAATTTTAATTTAATAATTGAATTCATGAGTCAATTGAAGCTAGATCACTATAGAAAACCCGGAAGCATTGGATGGCTTTTTAATCCTATTGTAGGACTTCTCAGCAGTGCAAACTCACCATCCTGTCTCGCGAGATTCGAACTCAGGACCTATCGGTCCCGCGCACCAGAGCTTAACTTCTAGACCACTGAGCTGACCAGCATCCAACGATGTTGATAGATAAATTTAAATAATATTGACATCAGTGTATTTAACTACAATCACCATTTATTTATTCGGTCAAACTCAAGGTTAAGGATTATTACAATTAACAAGATTATAAAAAATAAAGGATATATTTAGTATTTAACTGTTACAAATTAAGCTATTTTCCAACTTGCTTTTACACGTAATTTTTTCTCCAGGTTAGCTGTTTTCTTGTTGGATACGATACGAAATCGTATATATTTGTTTATAGTTTACCTGATCTATTGTTTCTGTGTAAAATGTCCTTTAAAGCTACATGAATAATTATCTTGTGCATTTCTACGTTAGGTCTTTAAGTGTTCCTATCATTTTGAGATGATGGAGAAGATTTGTAGCTCAGGTGGATGATTTTGATTGAGTTTCATTCTCTGAGCTAGTTGATTTGGTTGTGGAACGCTCGACGATTTTGTGTGTCGTTGTGTAACGTTCCATATTATTCACGACTAAATCATCCAGTTCAGAGAACAAAACTCCATCAAAATATTCCTATCTTTTTAGATTACATAAGCTATTAGTATCTGAGGAGTATGTTTCTACCATAATATTGAGCTTAAAAATATTATCTGTCATTTTAAATTGCAAATGATGATTAGGTAAAATTTGATTTATCTATAGATGTATTGCCTGAATAAGTCCCTCAACTGATGAACACAGTCTCATCAAGGCTATACTCAAAGCAGGTAACCACATATTTAGCCAACAATTACAATGTTTAGAACAAATCAATACAATTAGTACAAAAAAGTAAAACGATACAAAGTGAACAGTAAATACACATCCATCAATCAGTAGCATGGACACAGAAAAATATGGATCAATATTTAATCATGTTTGTAGAAAAATGTGCAACTTCATGAATGTTAGTCAAATAAATAAAAATCATAAGGGGTTTTGTGGATATTATAGTAATCTCAATGGCTGAGATCATGAGTCATTTGAAACTAGACCACCATGGAAAACGTGGAACCACTGGACGGCCGTTTCGTCTTATTGTTGGACTCCTCCACAGTGCGCATTTACGATTCTGTCCCGCGAGATTTGAACCCAGGACCTATCATTCTCGCTCAACAGCACTTAACCTCTAGACCACTAAGGCGGCCGGCATCCAAAGGTGTTAGTGTCTAACTTCAACTCCAAATAAATAAATAATAGCAACCAGTCTGAGACTAAATGAATCTTAAATGAAAGGCATTTAACTCAAATATAATTGGTTGCTTCACTCTTGTCGATAGTGATTTATAATTCCTCCCAAAAGTCCACCACATCCTCAGTCATCATTAACGAATCGTGTGGATTTTAATTTCTACTTCGATCAACTTCCTTTGATTTTATGCTGTAAATCTCTTTTGTTTAACACGAAATCACTTATTTAGCACCTAGTTACGCCTGTTGCTCCTCACGGAGGAGCATAGGCCGCCCGCCAGCACTCTCCATCCAACCCTGTACTGGGTAATCCTTTCCAGCTCTTTCCAGTTGTTATTCATCCTTTTCATATCTGCTTCTATTCTCCAACATAATGTGTTCATTGGCCTTCCTCTTTTCCGCGATTTTTTGCGTTGTTTAGCGAGTTATTTTTCTACGGGATAGGGTCGCTAACCCCATACCCAACTCTTCTCCTTTACTCGGGTTTGAGACCGGCAGTAACTTTAGAAGAGCTACAGGCGGAGCTGCTTATTTAATAGTTTACTATTACTTCAGTTACAATTTTTATGTCTACAAATTATTACTTAGTAGAATTTCATAGTGAATCACTGAATAATAACAAATGACATTCAGAGTATTTTTATTCATACAACCTTGTCGAAATAAGCTTTACTGGTCGTAAAAAAAGACAACCGATAAAATATAAATCAATCACTCCACCTATAGGTCTTCTACGGTTAATGCCATTCCCAAGCTTGGGTAAACGAAAAGGGTTAGTTATGCGGCTGGAAACTCTAGCCGTAGAAAACAACCTTGTTCCGAGAATGCCAACAAGAAAAAACATTTTAACTTTGGCCTGGGATTTGAAGGAACTTCATTCAGAAGAATTATGACGCCTCATGATGAAAGCCGAGATTCCTCAGAAATCACGAAACCGATTCCCTTTCTGACAACCAGAACAACAATTAACCTTGATATGTGGAATATCCGGATATTGTGGAAGACTGGGAGGACCAGCCAAATGGCTACAAGAATGAGGAGGTACAACTTGACAATATTCGAAATCAGAGAATCCCATTGAACCCAAGCTAGACAGAAAAGGCTAAATCCTGGAGAGATGCTGTTGTACTCTGGTCACGAAGAAGAAAATGCTCCTCACACATAGGAAGTTGTTCGATGTTGTCCAAATAAGCACGAAAAGCACTTATGGAATGAGATGTCACGGAGCCAGGATCATCAAAGCATCCTTAAAAACAAAGAAAGAGGGAATCACAGCGAATGATATCCAGTGTTATGCACCCACCAATGATAGTAATGAGGACGATAAAGATCAGTTTTATGAGACGCTTCAGTCGATCCTAGAGAAATGTCCATAAAAGGAAGGACAATAAGATAGTAAATAGCAACAGTTAAATAAGGGCAGAGAAAGTCAAGGTGCAAGCTGGATACACAGAAGCAAACAAGAGAGTGATGAGGAGCATAACAGTTGACAAGCACACTTATTGAAGAAGCTGTGGAAGAGGCGAAAACTTTCACGTACCTGGGAAGCATTATTGATAAACAAAGAGGATCTGATACAGTTGCCAAGGCACGGATTGTCAAAGTAAGAACAGCATTCCCACAACTGAAAAACATATGAAATTCAAAAAAGCCGACAGACAAAACCAAAGTCACAATCTTCAATGCAAACATCAGGACAGTTCTATTGTACGAAGCTGAAACTTGAAGAACCACCACAAACACCATCAGAAAAACACAGGCATTTATTAACACTAGGTCATATAAAATTCTCCATATCCATTGGCTACATATCATCATCAAGCTATGACGGCAGAGAACAAACCAATTTCCGGATGAGGAGAGAATTAGGAAAAGAATCAGGGGGTGGATGAAACATACATTGCAAAAATCATCAAATCACATCATGAGGCAAGCGTTCACTTGGAATCCTGAAGAGAAAAAGAGAAGGGGAGCACTAAATAACACATTGTGTCTGGAGTTGGAGGGAGTCATCAAAAGACCAAATAGCTCTTGGTAGTGAGTAGCATATAGAGCTCAGAACATGGTTGGAGAATCCTGGTGAGTGGCTTGTGCTTCACGATGGGCAACACGCGTAAGTAAATAAGTAAAAAAGTAAAAAGTCGTTATTTCATTCAACCCAGCATCAGGAACATAAGACTTTGAATCAAATATGTACAACCAATAGATATGATTTCTCAACTATATTTTACGAATATGTAACTTACACCAATAACTTACCGTTGATTGAAACGAGTTAAAAAAATCAATACGTAGGCTACCAATATTTGGTGATAGATACCTTGAGACCGCTATCTGTATATGGTAAAACTATGAAGAGAGTAATGTTGAAGCAACGTGGGAAACGCTAAATCAATCGACGAGGCTAAAAGCCTTCATCGAACGAGTTATTTGAAATATGTGTAACATAAGTCCAATAACCAGACACATTGAAGTACTGTGTTAGCTAGCAAAACACTCAGTAAGAACAATGTTAGGGGTAGCCAAACCAAGACGTGATATCAGTTCGTGAATTCAACTACTTTTAGACTGAGACGTGCCTGAAAATAAAAACTGTCTTCTTGGGGTCTGCACAGTAGTTACAATCAATGGTAGAAGACCGTAATTAACGTAACTCAAAATCAATTATAGTAACAGTATTGATCTTGAGTTATAATATCCATACTTTACATTGTTTTTTTTTCAAACCATTTTCTCTATTTTACTAGTTGAGATTATGAGTCAGCTGAAGCCGGCTCAGTTGGTTAAGAGCTTGCGAGCGAGACTGATAGGTCCCGGGTTAGAATCTCACGAGACAGGAACGTGGATGCGCACTGCTGAGGAATCTCACAGTAGAATGAAACGGCCGTCCAGTGCTTTCAGGTTTTCCTTGGTGGTATAGCTTCAATTGACTCATGATCTCAATCATAGAGATTACTATGATATCCACAAAACCCCTTCTGATAGTTTCTCTATGTTTGGCTTTTACTGTAATCAATGCTTATATTGTTTTAGTTTCTTTGATTTTAATCTTATAGCATAATTGATAAGTGAATAACTTGAACTGTAGTATATTTGTAGCACCTTGTGTGTTTGTTACTGATCAAGTTGAAAGTTACTTATTGTTGTTTATTGTTCACCATTCATTTTTTTGTTATAATCTAAATATTCCATGTCATAACTTCTAGAATCGTTTTCTAGTGGTCATTATTTTGAAATATCACAGTGTATATATGTTTCCACTTTTATGTCCATAATTCACACATACACAGTAACGAAATGTATGAAAATGAGAAACATACACTACCACTAGTCAGCATCTATCCTCCCTCAATCCTTGAAACTGGAATCGTTTATCAGCGAAGATTATAAATTAACACTTTCGTTTCGTTCAGTTTAATTCACAGCAAGAGTGCAAGTATACCACATTGAATCTCCACCATTCCTTATTCATAAAACTACACTTTATTGTAATGTATAATACAATATGTCTTAAAGTAGATGAGAAATCTTGTATCCATTATTTCGAATGACTAAAAATGTATAGCTATCAGCATATTATAATAATTTCAATAGTTGAGATCATAAGTCAATTGAAATTAGATCGTCATGAAAAACTTGAAAGCACTGGATGACCGTTTCGTCCTATTGTGGGACTCCTCAATGAATTTAGTAATAAGAACATTGTATTCGACATTTTAAATTGATTTTAGTTATGATAGTCAATTTATAACAGTATTATATTCTTTGTATGCAAGTAAGTGGCTATTTATTATTCCTTTTTGAAATTATCCACAAAATGATTTTTCGTTACAGCCAGTCTATATACATTCTATATATACACCTATATACACCCCCGAATTCCCTGGTACGGCCGAGGGTGGAGAACGTCTACTCTCCCTCTCGAAATGTTCCCACATGACCACGTGATACAACCATTGCTCGGGAAAACCTACTCACTGCCTTCTCCTACCAGGGGTGTTGTTTACGAAATTGAGAGGATGAAAAACAACTGTCCGGCCCTCTAACCAGTTTGGTGTACAAAGAGAGTCCATCTAGGGGAGTTGGAAAATCCTCATTTCAAACCAATCGTGCACATGGGCCGGCTCCAGGATCCTGAGGCAACTAATGGTGTATGAACCAATTATTGATCACAGGCTACCATGGGTCTGCATCTCCTTACGTTGCTCTACTGCATTATGAATCAGGCCTTTAGATCCGTGTGTGGTCCCATATGTGAACCACCTGTTTCGGTTTGGGCGCCCGTGCAGTATTCCAACCTTCACACAAATCGAATAATTTATCTGGCGCATATCTGTTTGTTGCCTCCTTGTATCAATGTTTATATGTTTAAATAAAGAAAATTGTATTACCAAGCAACTTTGACTGATGGATTTAGGTTACTTCATACATACACGACTATTTAAAAAGAAAATCAAATTATAAAATACTTTGACACTTAGTTTTCATATTACTTCATTTTCATAATTTTCTTACTATAGGAGCTTACAAATATGATCGCTAGTCGTCGAATTCAATTACATGGTGAGAATGGAATTGTACAACTTTTAACTAAAGTTATTAGAAATATTGAAGATTTTATTCGATTTATTCAATTCAATACTGAAAACTATGTAAATAATAAAAATTCAAAAACCTATTCACCTTTAGGATTAAATAATCAAAGTAAAATTACTACGGACGAATTAGAATTACACTGTAAAAATCTTTGCCAACAATATGATTATTGGATGGAAACTATTAAAAATATACTTCATTGTAAATGGCAAATATATGACAATGAATTACCATCAAAACAAATTAGTAGACCTCATTCAATCGATGAAACATGTACAGTTGCATTTGATGAGTAAGTTGATGAACGATGACATTTTCTTTCTTTCTTTTTTGTACGTGTTTTTTAAACTTAAGTTTATACTGAGATGTTATTTTTGACTGAACTATTATAAAATCAATAGATGGTTTACTGTGTTTTAACTGACGTTTTAGAATTTTTAGTAAGTTATTCATTTTACATCACTCATTCAGTCAGCTACAATGTAGGACCAGACATATGTATGCATTGGTCCAAGCTGCTATACCTCATTAGCATAAAAAGATGAACACCGAATTCATAGAAGACTGTGGGTGACCGCAATCTTCAGTCATTGGTTACGATAGTCACGCGTACGCCAACCGAGTAGTCCGCATCTCCCAACATGGCTCAGACCAGAAGTTAGTAAATTCAAGGGCTGATGCCATGTTTTAGTTTGGCTGCCCCCAACTTTCTTCCAACCATCCCCAAAACACTAATCAGCATTGCACGTCATGGTAATCGGTGTTCAGGGATACGTAACACATGACCTAACCATCTCAGTTGATGAAAATTCACAGCCTCATCAACTGACTTACCATCATTCCCTAATACTCTGTGTCGAACTTCGTTATTACTTACCCTGTGATACCAGCAGATGCGAGCAATATTTCTAAGACATGTGTGAACAAATGCTAGTAGATTACGAGTATCTTCTACTTCGAATGGCTATGCTTTGTAGCCGTAAAGTAGAACGGAATGAACTGCCGTGCAGTATACTCGTCCTTTTATTGGTAGACGGATATCTCACGTTCATCATAGGTGACATAAGTTGGCAAAAGTCAAACGAGCTTTGTGAACCCGTGCTGAGATTTCGTCGGACACCAGTTTATTCATTTTACATGGAACCTAGCTTATGTTTAACTTTTGAATTATAAAGCGTTTCTAAAATCCTACATTCACTAGTTGGAATTAATGAAAATTCCTACAAAAACCGTTGAAAACCACTATTTGTTACGATAGGTTAATATAAGTAATAAATTATTTAATCAACATATGTTCACTAGCGACGGTCTACAAGAGGTATTTCTTAGAGTTCTAGTGAGAAGCAGTGACCAGTGGAGTTCAACCGGGTTTGTTGTGAGATAGTAATTCACTGAAGACAATGATGATGGGTAGCTCAATTACGTGGATTTGTTGAAGTTAGACATTAACACCGTTGTATGTTGGCCAGCTCAGTGGTCTAGAGGTCAAGCGCTCGCGCGCGAGACCGATACATCCTGAATTCGGATCCCGTGAAACCGGATCGTGAATACGCTCTGCTGAGAAGTTCTACAATAGAAATAAATGGCCGTCCAGTGACTCCAGGTTTTCCATGGTGGTGTAGCTTCAATTGACTCATGATCTCAACTATTGAAGTTACTATAATATCCACAAAAACCCCTTCTGATAATAATTTACAAATTAACTATCAGATTCACTAGAACAACGGTTACATTCAACATAACAACATACCCAAGGTTTATTTAAACCAGAAAACTATCTTAGTCATTCAAAGTGATAAGACAACAATAATAGTCAGTCGCTTAGCAATCAAATGTAATATATGACCGGTTTGAAAATGTTTCTCGTAACAAAGTGAGTTTCAACTAGTAGGAACATAGCCAATTTGCCGGTCATTAATTTAACTACTGAGGTTAAAGCAAACATGGATGAACATTGGTTATTATTATGTAATGTAGTCATAAAACAGTTTCTTAGGTCCAATGGAAACATAATTGGCATTCTTAAGTAGTAGAAACAACGTTTGATAATTTTAATTTTGATTCAATGGATAAAAAGGTTACATGGAATTACTCTACAATTCATCATTAAAAGTAATTTTGATCATTCAAAATCCCTTACATATCTATCAAATGTTTTTCTAAATACATCATGACCAGTAATTTATTTCCGAAAAAAAACTAATAAACCTACTAGCATAATTTTTAAGCAAAGATTTATAGTGGTTATCAGTGTGAACCAGTTTGACGTGCGTTTCGTCCTGTTTGGGACACGTCAGCTGGATGTACCTGCATTCCATAGTTGATGTTCGCTCTGAGACTCGAACCCAGTAACGTTCACTTCAAATGCTATCGCGTTATCCAGTTAGTTACTGAGTCCTGCTAACTACTTGCTTGCGCAATGGGGTGAAGTTTTAAATTCACTTGGTATTGTTTGTTTGAGTTTTCTCATTGTTATTTAGGACTGCGATTGATCAGTCTGTTATTGGCATATGTGCATCCTGTGTGTATTGTTTCGATATTGCCTTGATTCATAAGTATTATAAGCAAACATGGATAGTGGCTAGCAGTGGAATCCAGTTTGATGAGCGTTTCGTCCTATTTGGGAATTGTCAGTTGGATGTACCTGTATCTTAGAATTGATGTTCACTCCGAGACTTGAACCCAGTACCGTTCACTTTAAGAACCATCACATTATCCATTATAATCGTTATTATTTATTTCATGAGTTTGATCTTACTTCATAAACTGTTTCAGATTTTGGTGGAGTTTTGTTCTCTGAGCTGGATGGTTTAGTCGTGGAGCTTTCATCGTTCTTCTGAACGACATCATCAGCACAAACTTCAGATAGAAGTTCAGAAGAACGATGAAAGCTCCACGACCAAACCATCCAGCTCAGAGAACAAAACTCCACCATAATCATCCACCTGAGCTACAAATCTTCTCCACTATTTCAGATGGAATCAAATTAATGATAATAAAAGGGGAAGTTTATTTAAATGTCAACAAAATCTAATTAAATGGTTGGAATTAATCAAGAACAGGGTGAATAGTATTAGTGAAATGAGAAATGAACAAATACTATTGGAACAAATTAATATAATACAACAATTGAATAAACAAATTACAAATAACAATACCAATGATGTAAATGGTCAGCGAAATTCACCTTTTGGAAATAATTCAAGTATACAGAATGATCAATTAAATAAACAAAATCCTAAATTGAAAAAGAATAGTTTCTATGAATTGACAAAATCATTGTTTAAGTAAGTTGATGAGAATAATGAATGGTAACAACTGTTGGAATCTATTTATGATCTAATACGATACATATATTTCTTATTGGATAATTATTATGTAATTGAACTGTGCATATTCGTGTTCCTCTTATCATAAGCTTTATTTTAATCTATGAATTATTATGATACGATTTACTATTCTTGAGTTATACCCCAGTCTATCCATTACAGTCTCGCAAATTCACAGTCACTTTTGGTTAGATCTTGTACAAATGTTGTTTCGTATTTGATGGTACGCTGTATTCTGTTTGGTTGGTATATAATCCCGATGTGTTTGAAATAAATTATTGATATCACAGAGGCTGAGATTGGTGTTCTGGATTCAACAGACAGACAGGGCTAGGTAGGAACAAGGACTGATAAGGACTCTAGACTGTTCGTATGAGTTTTATGCGTCATTGGTCCGATCGATAATTCACTGTTATCTAATTGGCGGTATCATCACGTTATACATTAATAGGATACAGGGCACAAGTTATAACAGTTAACTAATAGACAGTACAGTATACGAATTATGTTAGTTCTGTTCTATGGGGATTTCCAAGAAACTACGGATTGCTCTAAGAGTATTCATATCGAGGAAATGAAACTAAATTCAGTACAACTTTAATGTTGACATTAAACTTTTCAATATAACGATTTAAATTGTACTAGAAACACTAATAAAATCAGGCATGATCTTTAACAACGAACAAAAGTGTAATAAATAACCACTTTATCTAACCTGATTGATTCTACCTATTGAGGAGGGGAGGGGGAGAACGAGTTGCTACTTGATTTTCGGGACTTCCAATTAGAAACTAAAATATATATGCTTATCGATAACATAGAGCTTAATTTTAACTGTAATACAAATGAATAAGTTTTGAAAGCATAGATCGTATAGTTTTAATTGTATAACTGAAAATGATCAAATAATCTAAATGTTTACAATTCTGTAGAAGATGAAAATAACTTTAAAGACCGATTTTAAGAAAAAAGAAAACAAATGTTTAGTCCTCTCTGATTTAAATTGGTCCTATATCTAAAGTTAGAGATACTACCCCTAACTCAGGGTCTGAAAAGTCGGAAAAATGAGAATTTCGTAAATGCGATAAGAATGATCTTGGTGGTCTTTGTAATTGTATTCCGACACGGGACAATTGGTTTTAAGCATTCTTTAAGCCCTAACGCTTCAGGCTGAACTATTTCGTTTACTACCCTACATATGTGTTGTATGCAATATAAGCTATATGGTTATGTGGAGCTGAAGGTCTCATATGAGGTTGGAGGTTCGCCATTGGTATTGTGAATAGTTCGGCATCGCCTTGACAAGTTTTGCTGACTGTTTATGCACAAAATTGGTTTGCTAGATAACCGATTTTTATTCATACTGGTGGTTGCTTTTCAGTGTTCTCGAGGGTCATTGTCATTGGGACATTGTGAGGCATTTCGCCGTTGCTAACATTATTGAGTTTGACTGTCGTGTAAGCGGAATGGGTCAACTTTGGCCCGTTCGTGCTGTGCATAATTGATTCACGTGATCATTGATCGGAATAACTATACATGTGGTGTGAATATGTATATGAATCGTGCGAATGGTCCACCAGGGTGCTTGGTACCTGTGTGGTTGCGCCACAGGTTTAAGTTATACTATTCAGATTGTGGTATTAAAGCCCATATGGTGTCTGCTTCTCCTGCGAAACTGGACTGAGTTGTACTGTTCGGGTTAAGATTGGGCGGTGTCTGGTTCTCCTGAAAACCAATGTGAAATTACTCTTCCCCCCAAGGTTATATTATATATAACTATATCTAAACTTAGTCCATGATGAGAATCAATATCAATATAGATTTGATAATTATTTGTCATGGATAGTATTTCATTAATATTTCATCATTTATCAACTATTTCTATAATTTTCAGATTAGGTTCACGAGTGATTAAACATTTAGATCAAAAAAATATCTGGATTTCTTATGATCACAAAACAATGTTATCCAGACTGAATTCTTTCAAAGTAAGTCAGTTCAATTTCAATGTAATGTTGTTTATTTTAACTCACATTCCCTAACTCTTTATAGTTTATCGAGTGATTCAGTAAGATATGGTGCAAAATTTTCATCAGTATATGGTTGTGGAGATTACTAAGTTATTGATTGAGATTATAAACCGATTGATGTTAGATCGCTACTGTTGAGGAGTCTCGCGATAGGACGAAACGGCCATCCACTGCTTCCAGGTTTTGAATGGTGGTCTAACATCAATCGGTTCAACATCTCAATCAATAGAGAAATTTTTATTTCGATATTTTATTCTGACATATCAATACTTTATAGTTAAACTGTAAAAAACTTAAAAAACTGTTTACCCTTAGTTCAGTTTATGGTAGTTAGAAAGTTTATATTTTCACCCAATATTCTACATCTGATGATTGAGAACACCCGCGAAAATTGTTGTTGGATGCACTTAACAGTACTATATTATAAATGATTGGTGGTATTGTATTTTCAATCAGTGAAATTGTTTACATTACACTCTGCAATGCAAAATAAAGCAGAACTATCCAGTAATGGCTTTTTTCACTTAGAAAAAAGCCACTAATAATAACTTCTCGTCCTCAATAATTCATTTTTATTATTATAGAGGGGTTTTGTGGAGATTGTAGTAATTTAATAATTGAATTCATAAGTCAATTAAAGCTAGATCACTATGGGAAACGTGGAAGCACTGGATGGCCGTTTCATCGTAGTATGGGACTCCTCAGCAGTATGCATTCACGATCCCGCCTCATGAGATTCGAACTCAGGACCTATCAGGGTCACGTGCGAGCGCTTCATCACTAGGCCACTAAGCTGGACGATATCCAACAGTGTTAATGTATAAAATCAACTAATCCACGAAGTTGAGCGACACATCCACCATTGTCTTCAATGAGTTACTATCTCACAACAGACCCGGTTGAACTCCACTGGTCACTGCTCCTCACTAGAACTACAGGTAATACATCTTGAAGCCAGGATCTAATGAGCAAATGTTGACTAATTAAGGATTGTTCGAAGAAATTCGGTCAGGTTAACAGATTACTTACTTACATACGCCTGTTACTCCTCGTGAAGGAGCATAGGCCGCTCACCAGCATTCTCCATCCAACCCTCTCCTGGGCAATCCTTTCCAGCTCCTTCCAGTTGTTATTTATCCTTCTCATATCTGCTTCTATTATCCGACGTAATGTGTTCTTAGGTCTTCCTCTTTTTCGCTTCCCTTCAGGATTCTAAGTTACGTCTTGTCTCATGATGCAGTTTGATGATTTGCGTAATGTATGTCCTATCCATTTCCATCGTCTTTTCCTAATTTCTTCTTCAGCTGGAAGCTGATTTGTTCTCTCCCACAAAAGGCTGTTGCTGATGGTATCCGGCCAGTGGATGTTGAGTATCTTGCGAAGACAGCTATTTATAAATACTTGTACCTTCTAGATGGTGGTTGTTGTAGTTCTCCAAGTTTCAGCTTCATACAGTAGAACTGCCTTGACGTTGGTATTGAAGATTCTCACTTTGATATTGGTTGAAAGTTGTTTTGAATTAACAGATATAAACAATTAATTTTCTTTTTGCTATAAAAAAATTTCCTATTCTCATTTAGTTATATGCGGAGAGATGGATTGAATACTTGAATAAAATAGAAAATTTTAACGATACACAAACATTTAAAAATGTGGTATGTTCTGTTATAACAACAAAATCATGTAATTCACTATCTATAATATTCATTTCAGAAGGATTATTTAAATGTTCAGTAAGTAATTGATTCATATTTTTTACTCATTTTTCTTATTAAAGAACTTCTGAAATATCAGAAAGAGTTTTGTGGATATTATAGTAAGTTAAATAGTTGAGATCATGAATCAATCGAAGCTAGACAACCATGGAAAACTTGGAAGCACTGGACGACCGTTTCGTCCTACTGTGGGACTTCTCCGCAGTGTGAATCCACGATGTGTCGCTCAGTTACGTGTATTAGTTGAAGTTAGACATTAACATCGTTGGATGCTGGTCAGCCCAATGGTCTAGAGGTCAAGCGCTCGCACGCGAGACTGATAGGTCCTGAGTTCAAATGTCATGCGGCGGCATCGTGGATACGCACTGCTGATGACTTCAACAATAGGACGAAACAGTAGACCATTGCTTCTAGGTTTTTCAAGGTGATCTAACTTCAATTCACTCATGATCTCCACTATTAATATCGATTATTAGTGTTGTATTGGATGTTGGAAATTTCTTAGTATCACATCAACCAGTGGAATCCAAGACGCATGGACGGGCCAACATCTCAGAGTTGATGTCCACTCTGGGACTCGAACCCAGAACCGTTCGCTTAAAACCCCATCACATTATCCACTTAGCTACTGAGTCCTGATAACCACTTGCTTTTGCAATCGAGTGAAGTTTTAAATTCACTTGGTATTGTTTACTAGAATCTTCCCATTGATGTTTTTAGGACTGCAGTTGATCAGTTCTAGCCACTATCTATCTTTGCTTATAATACTTGTGACTTAAAGCAATATCGAGGCAATCTGCACAGGATGAGTATATGCCAACAAGAAACTGATCAATCGCAGTCCTAAATAACAATGGGAAGATACAAGGAAAACAATACCAAGTGAATATCACAGCAACTGTTTGTGTGTTTTCTTCTTTTCCTTGTTCTTTTTTTGTAATAATTATAGTTCAGGATCTAGAAAATTTATAGGCGTATACAACCAGAGTATTATACGATATTTACAATCAACCGATGGAACTATAAGAGAACATTTATTAGCTAATACAATTGATGGTCAATCAGTTCAAAATAATGATGATACAGAATTCATGGTTCAATTATCAAATCATTATTTAATGAATACAAAATTGGCATATTTAACTTTATTAAAACAAAATGAATTAACTGAATTACTTAATAAAACTGAAATGACAACAATGGAATTTGATAAAGAAACAACAATTGTAGAACAACAATGGATACATTTGTGTAACACTATTGAATCTTTACAATATCAATTTGATATGAAACAAAATGAATTAAAAAGATTAAAAGATATATTACAGATAAAAATGGAAGTATTAAGTGAATAAGAAGAAGTTATTCTTGAATGATTAAACAGTTGATTACGATTATATGATAATAGTGAACATACTACTTAATATATTTTATGCTACTTATTCCTTTTTTTTTAATTAAACACATAAACATTACAGATTGAAATCATGAGTCAGTTGGATCTAGACCACCATGGAAAACCTGGAAGCACTGGACGACCGTTTCGTCCTAGTATGGGACTCCTCAGCAGTGCGCATCCACGATCCCGCAGTGGAGTTCAACCAGGTCTGTTGTGAGATATCAGCTCACTGGAGACAATGGTGTACGGTGGCGCAACTTCGTGGATTGGTTGAAGTTAGACATTAACACCTTTGGATGCCGGTTCAGTGGTTTAGTGGTTAAGTGCTCACGCGCGAAACCAGTGGGTCCTGGGTTCGAATCCCGCAGGGAGCGGGTTCGTGGATGCGCACTGCTGAGGAGTCCCAAACTAGGACGAAACGGCCGTCCAGTGCTTCCAGGTTTTCCATGGTGGTTTAGCTTCAAATGACTCATGATTTCAATCTGTGAAATTTCTAAAATCTCCACAAACCGCTTCTGACCTAAACATTAGTACAAGGAGGCATAAAAATAGATATGTGCTATACAAATCATCCGATTTATGTGAGGGCTGTGATACTGCTCAATTGTCCAAGTGTCTTAGGGAGCCACACCCGGAGCATTCGACCTAAAGTCAGTGGAGCAATGTAAGGAGATGCAACCACATGGTAACCGGTGACCAACAACAAGTTCATACGCCATTTGTTTCCTTATGATCCCGTAGCCCATGTACACCATTGGTTTGAAATGAGGGTTTCCCAACTCCCCTAAGTGAACTCTCTGTGTCCACCAAGTCGGTTAAATCGCCGAACATTCGCTTTTCATCCTCTTGATTCCGGAGACATCACCCCTGCCACGACATGGCAGTGAGTAAGACTTCTCTGATAGTGGTTTTATGCACGTGGCTACTTGACAGCATTTGGAGAGTGAGACGTTAACCTTCCCATTTTCGGTCGTATCAGGGTATTTAGGGGCACTTTAAAGGTAATACTGACAAACAGAAGTCAAGAGAATATATCTTGGATACTATCTTAACATTATTACATGTATCTAACTAAGTGTTAATTTCTTCATTATTTTCATAGCTGAAGTAAACTATTATCTCAGTTTTAGATAAGTTTTTTTTCAGTCTTATTATCCTTGATTTCAAAATAGAATTTCTTGATTATGATGATCAAAAAAAATCAGTGCAATCGAAGTTGAGTGGTATTTCTCACTTTTTTTGGTAAAGGTGCTATCAAATGTCGTTTCCGATGGAGTTTTGTTCTCTGGTTTGGTCGTTGATCTTTCATCGTTCTTCTGAACGACATCATCAGCATAAAATTCAGATAGGAGTGATGTGTTCATTTTTCTCTACATGTGGTACACAGGTTGTCTTTTAGACCTCGATGTTGATTGGTTCTTGTTGACCTTAAAGCTGTCATTGTTTACTTCTTTGTTTTGATTGTATCTCCCACCATCTCAATATCGTTTCCTTTTATGTTTAATGAACTATGATTGGTACCGAAGTATGATCAACGATTCAGTTAACATGTAACTCGACAAACAAACATAATAAAATCTGAGAATCATATAGTAAATACTCAATTTACAAAATATCCATTATTTGTCCAAAACTTGACTATTTCTTTTGCAAATATCAATCCATAGTCTCAGATTTCATTGTTCCTACATTTTCATACAAATTGATTTCCATTTTCGTTCTTTCCTTTTCGATTTTCCATTGAAATACATTCTATTCCTGACTATCATTATATACTACTACTTATATGGATATAAGTAGCTCACATCATACTATGATCAGTACAAAGATAAGATCAATTATTCAATCAACAGGTTAGTTATAAAGGAAGAATTAATAATTAAAGTTATATTTTTCTAGAACTTGGTTTGTTAATTTCAATTTAAAAAGAGAAAAAAAAGCAAACTAATCGTTTTGTTTTAATGAATAACAAACAATTGATGATTAAACATGCATAAAGAAACAGATAAACTGTTAATGGGTAATTAGAATGTACCTTTATTTGTGTAAATATTAGTTAAGGTGTCTTGTTTAAAAAATATTTGTACTCAATTTCAATTGTATTAATGTTTTGATTCATCATCATCATCATTATGTAAATATAATTCAGTGGATGAAATTAATGAAGATGAAAACATTGGTGAAGCACTATTTCTAACTAATGATGTACCTTGTGCTTTAATTCCAACAATATTATCAGCCATACATACATATTCACCTTCATATTCTAAGATGAAATTTGTTATTTGTAAATAAGATATAGTGTGTGTTTCTTCAGTTCCTCCACGAACACTAACAGTAAAATCTTTGTAATTACCTTCAAATATAAAAAAAAATGAAATAATAATACATTGTTAATTAAAATTATTCAAGATAGGTAGTTTTAAACGAAATACTTATGTGAAAAGAACCAATGAAGTTAGTACAATAATTTTTAAGCAAAGATGGATAGTGGCTAGCGACGGAATTCAGTTAGACACGCGTTTCGTCCGATTTGGGACTCGTCAGCTAGATGTAACTGGATGTCAGATTTGATATTCATCCTGGGACTTGAACATAGTACCATTCGCATCAAACGCCATCACATTATCCACTCGGCTACTGAGTCTTTATAAAGCTTGTGACTTAAGATAATATCGAGGCACTCCGCACAGGATGTATATATGCCAATAACAGTCCTAAATAACAATGGAGAGATAAAAGTAAATAACACCAATTGAATTTAATTATTTATGTTTTTTTCTATTGGTATTTTACATTCTGTAATCCGGGTACTCAAGAAACCAACAGGTTATTGAGTTTTTATTCGTACGACCATTTCCATGAGCAAGGCATTTGTTCTCCTTATTAGTATTAATTCTTCAGAAACTTTAAGAAAAAAATAATAGACTAATAACTCCTTTCATGAATAATAAAAGATTATGTCAGACTGTTTAAGATGATCTTAGTTGCATTCAGTAAGAACAAAACTAAAATAATTCTTGATGGTATGTCAATTTCCTGCAATTTTTGCATACCTAATGAAGTTTTTTGACTAGCTTCTGTATTATTTGTACTCATACTGACATGATCAAGAGAATGACATCCTCATTATTATAGATTCAATCGTCGAACTGTTTATTCTTATAACATTCATTACCCGTAACATACTGCATTAACTTGTTGGATTTAACTAGATAACGAAAAGTATCTTCAGCTAACCGTGTTTATGTGTGTATGAAAATGGTTGTTATAATTCTCTCTTTTATCACGACCCAGCTATTCATATCGCTTAGTAGTCTTGGACACCAATTCACATGACAAGCCCCCAAATCAGAACACGGTTGAACAGGAAAGAAACTATATTCTAAATAAAAAGGGTAGATGGAAGTAAGAAGCACAATAAAAGAAGCGTTAGTACGTTTATAGCGTTTACATGAGATTCCAGAGTGTTCTCCAAGTATCGACCAGCGCTGATTGGATAAGAAACAGCCAATTATCGTGCACCAACACAATCGTGCACAGAACATGCTTTAATCCAATCCACCACACTCGTCACCCTTTCAGAGCAGTGGTTCTGCTGGCCGTCCCACTTCCTTCTTTTCTGCAGTCTGTGCCACGCTGCCCGTCAAAATGTCGAGTATGCGGCGCACTGACCTCTACAGCTCCGTCGACCTGCCGGGCCATCAGCATCCGGTAACCACCCGGCACCTAGGACATCCAACGCCCGCTCTCTAGCGACCTACTGAGCCATCTATGTCCGATGTCCGCCCAACAACCGTACGTCCCACCGCTCCTCTGTAGACAGTATGCGCTACAGCCAAGGTCGTCCGCCAGAACACTGCACTCGAGGTCACCTCTCTGCACCTAGCCGCCCCAACTAGCACCTCAGCTCCAGATCCGCAACAGCGTCCGCAGAACGGCACACCACTTAGAGTATATTTAGCACAAAATAACAGAGTTGCTTGGTAAAATATAAAAGTCAATAAGGGGTTGTGGAGATTAGAAAAGTCATACTCTAATACTTCATTTGCAAAATGTTCATTAATTGTCTCAGACTTCATTGTTCCTGTATTTCCATACCAATTACTTTATGTTTCCGTTTTTCCCTTGTCGATCTTTTCAAACTTCTGCTGCCAGACATTCTATTCCTGAATCGCGATATATACTACTTATGTCGATATAAGTAGCATACACCACACTATGACATAATCAATATTAGAATATTTTCAAATGTATAAGAAATTTAGCTAAACGAAAACAAAAATAATAAAAACCATAACAGTTACGGTTACAAACCTGGCATTTGAATTTTATCCTGCTTTTGATTTGGTTTATTAAAATACCAAGTAATGGTTGGAAGCGGATAACCGCGTGCTTCACAAATCAATGTAACATTTGTACCTTCAATAACAGTTTGATTTAATACAGTTAATTTGACCGAAGGTGCTTGGGGTAAGGAAAAAAATAAGAATTTATTACAAAGTAAACAAATAATACGAACTTTGAGAAAAGGTCACAAAAAATTAACCAAGATAACAAACCTGCACAAGCAAGTGGCTATCAGGTCTCAGTAGCTGAGTGGATAACGTGATGGCATTTGAAGCGAACGGTACTGTGTTCGAGTTCCGGAGTGAACACCAACTCTAAGATGCAGGTACATCCAGCTGACGAGTTCCAAATAGGACGAAACGCGCGTCAAACTGGATTCCACTGCCAGCCACTAACCATCTTTGCTTATAAAACTTAATAATATTTTTAAGGTCTACCCATTTTCTACAATGTAATCAGAAGGTAATAACTAGAGCAAAATGTTTAAAATTAGCCTTTTTTCAGAGATACAATGAACTTATTAAACTTTCATTTGCTTGTTCTAGATTAAATGAAGAAGAAGTATTTAGTGGCCCTATATCTAACTCCAGATCAAAAGTCTGAGTGTTCGAATCACATCGGATTCACCACTTTATTGGGACCCTTCATTTGGACGTCAATTAGATAGGACGATGTTGTCGATGGGCTTATCACATTAGTGACCTGTGATCTGACTCCAATTAAATCGTATGACTGATTGCTCTCGAAATATATATATAGTCAATTCTCGTATATAATCATCGACGTAATCCGCGTTAGAGAATAAAGGAATTAAAACAAGTTAAATACGGGAAAGGATTTAGAATACGTATATTTTGTACAATCATTGATTCAGGCAGACGATCAAAGCAACGAAGCGAACAGAAATGGTGATCGGTGGAGAAGGAGAATTGTCATGGTTGTACTCTTAAGACTAGAATTACCCAAGACCAAGTTCAGTTCAGCAGTCAATAACTGAATTCTATCAAGCCTGTAGTTTATATAATTTATTTAACATATATTTATTGTCATTACAAGTGACATCTACTTAGGATCAAACAGTTGGTCAATCCGTAAACTCCACAACACAGTCATCATCTATACTCATTCTCAATATTGTTTAATGTTTTTAATTTTCCAACTAATCTAATTCATTTGCCAAGTATACGTTTACTGTACTTGGTTCTAGACCCCAGATTCTATTCTATATCCTATCTCTCACAGTGTTATTCGCGTCCTAGGTGAAAAAAGCGGCTGTATTCATAAGTCCGGCGTATGTCTCCAGAACAATGTTATAGAAATGCATAACGGAAAATAATTCAAATGTTTGTGAATTCGCCAAATTAGGCAACAACTGTTCATTTTCAGTATGGGGATTTGTGAAAATTGTAGTATTTCATGAGTCGACCACTAAGCCGGCATCCGCCGATGTAACTGTCTAATTTCAATCGATTCATGATTTGCACAACCCTTCATCTAGAGGTTAAGCTTTCGCGTGCAAGATCGACGGTTCTGGGTCCGAGTTCTTCATGTGGGATGGTGGATGCGCACTACTAAGGAGTCCCATACTAGGACAAATCGGCCGTCCATTGCTTCCATGTTTTACGTAATACATTTTCAACAATCTGATCACACATATACTCTTTAAGACATTTTATATGAAAAATAAAAGGTCAACTAGACAAATTAAAAGGATAGCAGAAAGAAAGATTATTATAAAGTACACAAAAACAATGTGAAGACTATGCTGGATAATAAATCAATATTTCAGGTTAGGTTAAGGGTAAGAACAAATTGTATTTGAACACACAAAGAGGGTTTCAGTTTCTGTATGCCAAGGGCTTCAAAAAGCCTTAGCATATGCCCTTGAAAGCTTTTGTACAAAACTACAGAGTCTGACTTGATATCAGCCTTATGACCAGTTTCAACCAAATGTTTCGTAATGGAGGAAGATATTTGTTTATCCTGTGATCTTATTTGACCATAAGAATTCATTTGTTTTTGCAGCTATTTAGGTATGTGTTCAGCCACCTTTACTTACAGCTCATGATTGCTTCTTCTTGTTTACCTGTTTCCGCACGTACATGTAAATTGATGGATGAAATCGGATGTGACCGGTCTCAATAGAGGAAATATTTATTTACCATGTGATTTTATTTGACCATTGGAATTCAAAGTCAATGCGAACCTAGTGAAATTGCTTAACATGAATGTTATTAGCAAAGATAAATTTAATTTATTAAAACCTATAGGTTCGTTTTATCCTAATTTATACAGACCACCAAAAATTTATAAGCCCAATACCTTCTAACGTCCAATCCTATCAATGTGTCGGTCATCTACACACAATCTTGTAAAATGGTTGACAAAAGTATTAAACCTTATCGGAAATCAATTTTGTAAGTATTCCTTGACTGACTCATTTGGATTAATTAAGTACTTAATGGATATGAATGTAAAAACAAAGACAATGAGCTTCAATGTGAACATTTTATTCACAAATGTGCTTGAGATGGTGGAGAAGATTTGTAGCTCAGGTGGATGAAGTTTGTGCTGATGATGTCGTTCACAAGAACGATGAAACCTCCACAAACAAACCATCCAGCTCAAAGAGCAAAACTCCATCAAAAAACAAATGTACCTCCGTTATATTTCTCTCTTACGGTTATAACCCAGCTATTCCTAATGCTTAGTATTCTTGGACACCAAATCACTCGACAAGTCCCCAAAACAGAACACGGTTGAACAGGAAAGAGATTATATTCCAAATAAGAAGGTTAGATGGAAGCAAGAAGCACAATAGGGTAAACGTTAGTATATTTATAGTTTTTACATGAGAAGATTCTAAAGTATCGACTAGTGCTGATTGGATAAGAATTAGCCACGCTTTAATCCAGTCTATGTCCCACTAACACCTCCCCTTTGAGCAGATTCGGAGGATCTGGTGCTAGGGTCCAACTGCAACCGAGTGACTGCCCTGTGCTTTCGATTTGTCCATCGTCTAGGCAATAAAGAAGTATCACTCTTTTCTTGCACTGACATGTCTGCTCCAGGCGTTTAGATTTCAAAGGTGTCTAGCAGAACATCAAGAGGTAATCTATATTGAATCTCGTTGCTGGCCATCGAAGTTGCTTTCAATTGGTTAGCATGACGTACCCAAACTTCTGAACCAACTGACACCTCGTAAACCACACTCGCCTTCTTTTTCAAGACCCGACCAGCTGTCCATGTGGGATGTTTCTCACGATAGTCCAGAGCAAGTACTTTTTGTCCCACCATAAACACTCGTCTTTGTGCCCAATGATGTCGATTGAACTGATTCTCCATCGATAGGTTTCGTTGGGGTCCAATAGCTAGCGTAGGACGGATGACATCGAAATGTGTTCGTATCTTTCTGCCAAGTAGAGCTTCTGCTGTAGAGACCCCGTTAATCGTCTGACGGTTCGGTGTAGAGCGATAAATAAACAGGAACCTCTCTAAGATCTCTTCAGTGATCCCTTCCCCTTTGGATTTTTTAGAGCATTTTTAAATGTACTCACAAAGCGTTCCACTTGGCCATTTGATTGGGAATGGAATGGAGGTGTTCGGAAGTGATGGATTCCGTTCTGCCGACAAAATTGTGAGATTACGGACGTAAACTGTGTTCCGTTGTCACTAACTATCGATTCCGGGATTCCGAAACGACTGAATAGTCGACGTAGTTTACTGACTGTGCAGCTTGATGTCGAGCGTTTCATGAGAAAAATTTCTGGCATCAATCACCAAAAGGTAAGTTTGTCCATGAAGTGAACCAGCAAAGTCCAAATGTATACGCTGCCACGATGACTGTGGTATTGGCCATGATTTCAGCACTGTTTTTCGCGGTGCTTTGGTTGCTGATGCACATTTGGTACACGAACGGGTGAGCTGCTCCGTTTGGGTGTCTAAATGCGGCCAGTATACATAACTTCGTGCTAGTGCTTTCATGCAATTTATTCCAGGATGTCCTGCGTGCAACTGTTGATACTTTATGTGACTATATCTCATTGAATAACCTTACCTTGCCATTTCATGTTAAAACTCTTAAAGAATTATTATTATTATTATTATTATTATTATTATTATTATTATTATTATTATTATTATTGTGTACAGACAATGTAAAATTCACTTTTGAGGGTGAACACTTTCGAAAAATCGATGGCCTAGCTATGGGTAGTCCTTTAGGACCGTTGCTGGCTGATGTGTTTATGGGATATATCGAAAATCCAGCTGAAGATTCAATTCAAAAGATGTATCTATGTAAGCAGTACATCATAATCATAGGGGGTAAACGTGAAGATGTGAACCGCTTGTAAAAAGAACCCAACACAAGTCAAAAGCATATTTCTCTTACATGCGAAGAAAAGAAGAACAACCAACTTCCTTTTCTAGACACACTGATTAGTAGGAGAGATGATGGTAACATCAAACGTTCCGTATATAAAAAACCGACATGGACATCTTAATTTACATAGTCTCGGCCTGATTCATTACAAAGGTGGATTAGTAAAGGGTCTATTAAATAGAATCAATCATATTTGTATTACTGATACTAGTGAAGGAGACACGAAGCTTTTAACTGAAACATTAATGAATAGCGGTTATACATTGAAGTTCATGGACTGCTGAAAGTGTTGCAATTCAATGAGACCTAGGACGTTTTTGGCACCTAAAAAGCCAATCCATATTACTTTACCATTTAGAGGTAACTTAAATAGTCTCATGTTGAAACGGAGACTTAAATTGGCTAACAACAAAACATTTTATTCAGCCCAACTCATCATTATTGAAAAGTCAAGGTCTATGTTTTACCAAAAGTCAAATCGCATGTAAGCGATTGTGTCACATCCGATTTCGTCCATCAATTTACATGTATGTGCGGAAACACGCACATATGGAGGGTCAATCGTGGGCTTCAAGTAAAGGTGGCTGAACACATACCTTAATTATCAGTATGGGCTTGTAACGATTATTAAGTTTTTGATTGAGATCATGAATCGTTTGATTTTAGAGCACCATTGAAAACCTGGAAGCACTGGACGGCCGTTTCGTCCTAGTATGTGACTCCTCAGCAGTGTACATCCGCAGCCCAACATGAGGGACTCGAACCTAGGACCTTCGGTCTTGCACTCGAATGCCTAACCTTTAGACCATTGAGCGGGCATCCAAAGATGTTAACGTTTGATTCGGTCGATCCATGATATTAGGCAACCCTTGATCCATTATCTGAAAGAGATAAGTTTTTCCACCCGACACGGATTGTACTCCACTGATCACAGCCATCCAGTGCTTCTAGGTTTTCAATGGTGGTCCATCTAGTTTTTGTAGATAGTGATGTTCACTATTCAGATTAAAACAATGCACAATTTATAGCCAATTAATAAATTATTACAGACAATAAAATGTTTGTTCCTAAACACATGAGCACAAATTTTGAAATACAAATTAATTAATCACTAATTTTTGATATTTCTAATCATTTCCATAAATTCTTTTTAATGAAGGTCAGAAAACACAATAACCATGGCAATAATATCAGCCGTCCGTTTTTGATTTTCCGCTGATACATGTACCAGACAGATGAGCCATGTGTTATTGATTTGAGTTGTGTTGATATCTGATAGAATAGTGCTGGCTCAGTATCTAGTATAGGGCGAGTGAGTCGTATATGCAGATATATCGTTCATCGTTCGTTTTAATCAATTTCATTTCCTATTTATGTTATTTTACATATTGATTATTAAATGTCGATGGCTTGAAGAGTTGACACGTCTAATTTTCCTCCTCACTTATGTTGTATGAACACTTTCAAACCAAATGGTTTAGTTTATTTCATTTCTTCTGTTTAAAAACTGTCAAAATAACGTATAGCATAGTGAATAAGGAACATTTTTGAAATTAACCCCTTCCATTGATTTGAGTAATTTAGTTCAAGGAATAGACTTTGTACAAATAATTGCCTTGATCATTTCGAGGCGATCAAAAGTGGTTGAGTTATTGAACGTGATAATCTGTACAGGATTATTAGCTTGATTGCAAGCTACGTTCTCCCTGATGTATTGTTAAGTCATCCACTGACCATCGAATGCCCTGGCACGGCCGAGAGTGCAGAGAGTTAGCTCCCTCTCTCCAAATGCTCTCTCATAGCCATGCGTACACAGCCACTGCCACACAAGTCCTATTCACTGCCTTCTCGCGGCATAACTGTTTACGAAATTAAGAGGACGAAAAATAAAATAATATAAAACGGATAAGAAAACTCCTTTAGTTATAACTACCAATGTAATAAGCTCACGAATACATACTTAAAAAGGAATAAGTCTTTACACAATTACAGCTGCAATAAAATTTTAGAAAATGTCAACAATGAAAAAAATGCATTACTCAACCAACCATTGTCAAGTAATTATCAATGCTATATAATTTAGTCCTTAATGTTGATTAATTCGTATGGATTGAATAAGTAACGTAATCAGTGAATTAGGTCCTAAGATTGGTTGAAACATTAGTAAATTCACTTAATCAACCCAAGCTTCTACCTGAAGTTTGTGCTGATGATGTCGTTCAGAAGAACGATGAAAGCTCCACGACCAAACCATCCAGTTCAGAAAACAAAACTCCATCAAAAGTTTTCCAAATGGCTTTGACTGCCAATTAACGAACACATACTATGCATTCCTTATTTATTTCCATATATTTTTACATCCTCCATTCTACTCATACTCCACTCCAGGCACTAAATTTCGTGGACATCACAGACACATAGCTTGCCATATTTAAATTTATAACCAAAGTATTGATATCTAATTCCATTATTATTAACTTGATACATCTAAAACAGTGGATGGAGATATGACAGTCAACGACCAAATATACTTTGTTTTGTGACTTCCAACATTCGTTTACAATTGTATGATAGAACGTAAAGAAGTGACTCACATTGCATTCGATTATTGACAAACATTTAAACATCTTTATTGAAAGTAATCATTGTATGTTCAAAACATTCAATATATCTTGAATACTTTTAAATCTGTTATCAACAACAATGGAAAGTGTCACAATAATCCCATTCGTTTTATGTGAAATAAATAACAAAACAAAATCACTAGACCCATTTAACCAAACTGGGTATTTTCAGACGATGACCAAAGTCGTGGTTATTTAAACATAAGCAAACAATCCTTGTTAAAAGGCAGTTTTTTGACGGCGCGGCCAAGAGTGGGGAGACAACTCTACCTCTCCAAATGCTCTCCAGTAGCTACGTGCATACAACTACCAACAGGGAAGTCCTACTCAATGCCTTCTAGTGGTGAGGGTTTTATTTACGAGATTGAGAGGATGAAAAGCGGATGTCCGGCAGTCCAACCGGGTTGGTGAATATGGAGGAACCACGTGGGGGTGTTGGAAAACTCCCATTCCAAACAAATGGTGCACATGAGTTCCAGGGTCCTGAGGAAACAAATGACGTATGAACCAATTATTGGTCACTGGCTATCATGAGAATGCATCTCCTGACGTTGCTCCACTCCCTTGTGGATTAGACCTTTGGTGCCTCCTCGTACCAGTGTATATGTGTTTAAATAAATAAATAATAAGAACACAGGAAACTTCAATTAATATAACGTTATGTCGAGATTTTATATTCTTGTTTCTGGATAGCAACTAGGCATCATTATAATTAATCTATCAGCTAACGAAATAACCTGTAACTTGGCGAAAGATTGATAACTTATAGTTTTAATAAAATTCTGTCTAGTTAATCATGTCATACATGGAGCAAATACCAGTGGATGGTATTTAAGTTTATATAATACTATATTAGCCTCAAAAGCTTAAGCTTTTAGATTCCATGCCTTTTTAGAGTCGTGAGTCATATCTTACAGGACAAAGTTGTAGAGTAAGAAAAATCTGTTTACTGGGACTCCAACTCATGTTGTAGTAAAACTGAACAGATAGTAATTGAGATTATGATATCAAATCCAAAATTATTACCATAATATAAGCAAAATCTTTATGATAATTGAACCTCTTTGAATAAATAGTAGAAAGAGTGAGACTGTATACTTTTAAGTTAGTTCAATCAAAGAAGAAGCATCCTTTAGGTGTCTTTGTATTTTGGCATAGTCGTAGAAAATCTTACTTATTTTAAAATTAATTTGAATAATCACCTATAAACCTTTAGAAAAAGTAACTTACCAGTTTGACAGGGTCCTTCACTAATTGGAATAACTGTACCATTCGATGAGATGATTGTTGCATTCATTTTACACTTTGAATACGTTACACCATCAGAACCGCATACTTTACCAGGTTTAACACAATAACATATACTTTGCGATCCAATTATCTTTGAGTCAATATCTGTACGTGTACGACATTCTAAATCTGTACCACACATTCCATGCCATGTAATTCCTGGTTTTAAAATACCATTTTTAAAATCTTCAGGTATATTACATAATTGAGCTTCTTCTAATGCACAAATATCACAACATCCACATTTATCACGTACTGTACCAACATTACATTGTATAATAGGTGGACATTTTTTACGATCACATTTCTCACATTCATCTTCTATATCTTTCATTACAGTTGGATATTGTGAATGTTTGAAAGGTTCATAATTATAATCATTATTTTCACTACATTGAGAGATGCGAATTAGGATTATATTGACAAAAAGTAAAAATAATTGAATTGACATGTTATATTTTGTTGCCATGGTAGTTATTATTATTATTATCACTGTAGAATAAAAATATGGTGCGCCCTGTTTCAGTGTTCTGGGCAGAATGGTTTAGTGTTAGTTATCTTAATGCAAAATAGATTTGTATCTATAAGGATATTGATTTTATTTCCAAATAAAATGAATAGGGATAATAATATGAACCAATAAGGAGTGTAAGGATAATGTAGTTTAGTAAATCGAATTCCAAACATAAATTGCTACACAACTAGTACAATGTTGCACACTAAGTGAATAATATTCGTTAAAATCAAAGACATGTCTTAATGGTTTAACCAATCACAAATTAGTGTTGTATTACCTATGTAAGAATAGATTTCAACCCAAGACAGTTATTCCTGATTTATTTATTTATTTAAACACATAAACATTGGTACAAAAAAGGAGCAAATAGATATGCGCCACATAAATCATTCGATTTGTGTGAAAGTAGAGATACTGCCCGGATTCCTAAACCAAAGAAGGTGGTTTTCTTAGAGGGCAACACTTCGACCTAAAAGTCTGATCTTCAAGGCAGTGGATCAACGTCAGGAGATGCAGACCAATGGTAACCGGTAAATAACAATAGTTTCATATGTCATTTGTTTTCTCAGGATACTGGAGCCAACCCATGTACACGACTGGTTTGGAATGAGAGTTTCCCAACTCCTCTATATGGACCCTCCGTGTCCACCAACTCGATCAAAGCACTGGACATTCGCTTTTCGTCTTCTCAACTTCGTAAACAACAGTAATGTCTTGAGAAGGCAGTGAGTAGGACTTGTGTGGTAGTGGTTGTATGCACGTGGCCATGTGAGAGCTGACTCTCCCCAATTTCGGTCGTACCAGGGCATTTGCGGTTTAACGCGACCACATTTAGATATCACCTCAGCAATGTCTAGTCGATTATTACTATTCGTGAAATGAACTATGGTGTAATCAGTCTTAGATTTCGTCATTACAATCAATCATTTTGAATACCAGTAAAAGAAGAATTCATTATAAATTTTGTTGGGTGTTCAGTTTTCATACCAAGTTGACTATACATCCTCATAGAAAATCTGGTGGGGAAACAAAGTTAATTCATGATTATTACACATCAATATCAATACGGAATAAGACCGATTTAGATATACTATCCAACTACTATTCACCAAGGTAAATAACTTAATAGCTCAATTTTAGCTGGATCGTGGAAAGACATCCACATGAAATTTCTCAAAACTGCATAAATATCCTTGTGTTAACCAAAATAATTTGGTGGTTTTAAAATTACCCTGTAAGCTTAGTTGTGAATCTTAAAAGTAATCTTTTCCACTAAGGTGATCATTTATTTTCACTTCAGTAAATTTTCCCTCAAATATCAGTAAACAATGATTGAAAGATGGTAAGATGTTAAATGAAACTAGATTGGCAGAGGCTGACATTATGTTAACTTGCAATATTGCTTTTGTGGTGTATGTTACTTATGGCTGTCAACATAAGTAGTATGTAACATCATTCAGAAGTAGAATGCCTGGCAGAAAAAGATTGAACTGAAGAGAACAGAAATATAAACAGACAGTAATTGTAATATCAGAAGGGTTTTTGTGGATGTTATAGTAATTTTAGTTGTTGAGATCATGAGTCAATTGAAACTAGACCACCATTCAAAACCTGAAAGCGCTGGATGGCCGTTTCGTCCTCACGAGATTTGAACCCAGAACCTTCAGTCTCACGCGTGAACGCTTAACCTCTAGACCACTGAGCTAGCCAGCATTCAACGGTGTTAATGTGTAACCTCAACCAATGCACGAAATTTCACCATCTTCCATTATAGTGAGGTAGATATTAGTCTCTACCCTATCTGCCTTAACACTGCCAAGTAGCTCAAATCCAAAAATAAATACCATTAGATTTTTAAAATATGTTTTGTAAACTTAAAAGAGAATCCTTTATGAACCATTTTCTGCAATTAATATATTTCTAATTAATAAACTATTCTAACTCTTGAGTCTACTGAACTCATTTCCGCTAAGTCAATTATAAAAAGATTGTTTTTGGTACTCTTTTAAACAAATGAATCGTAACCATTGAGAAGTTTTGAACAGTAATTTACAACTATGTATCACACAAGTGATTCTAGTCATATTCCAATCGGTACTGTTATTATCAGTTTTCAATGAGCGTAACTAGCATTTTGTTGACTTGCTAACTGGCTAATATGTACGTAATTGCCTCAGAAAATTATATCTTTTACATAAATCATTTTAAATTCAGCCTTATAACAAGAGGTATGCATCTACTGTAAATGGTTGAAAAGGCTGTATTATATATAATTCCAAGATGACAGAGAAACATTCATAATTGATTTTAACATTATAACATCGAATCTATTAACCTGTTTTGAATCTGGATTTTAATGAATAGCCAGGCCAATCATACTTGTGGTCAGGTTTCAGAAACTACTCATGGTTCATTTAAGTAAACTTCAATAAACCTAATATGTTGTCCTAAGTCTAGATTTTTCTGAAAGACCTTTATTCTGTAGTTTTATTGTATAAGCTACTGAGATTTTGTTATTATGTCAGGTACCTGTGGAAGTGTTCTTGAATTGCCAAAATAGTTAAGTTGAACAAATAAAATCTAACAAATCGATTAAGATCAGATAGCATTCAGAAGTTCCCATCATAGCTTGGAAAGTTTTAGCCAAATAAGCCCACAACCATAATAGGTATCTGAATTAAGGTATTGAAATTTCGCGGTGACGGTCATAACATCCAGGTAGTGTTTAAGTTGAATAGTTTACGTCTAACTTTCATAGACTGTTCAAAATGACCTAGAAGAAGTTTTAGTCGTTTCTAACCTTTAACAGTAATGAAAAAAGGAAGAATTTAAGCAACAAAAAGAACATTCCAAAGTAAATACTACTTTTATGTGATGGATGGACATTTTTAGATTGGCTTTGCTTTTCCTCGCTTAAAGAAGCCCATTTATATAGATCAAATTTACTCTTTTCCACAAACTTCTGTAGTCTTAAGTAGTTTTTTAAATAAATCTCAATAATTATTTCAATATCTTCGTCAATACCGTAGAGACGTAGTGGTGACCAGATCAAATTTCTCTGCATTACTCTAACTATAATAGTTCAGATACTTCTGCCACATATCAGGGAAGCTGCTCTGTTTACTTGGTTCCTATTATCCAGTCGTGGGTGAAATGGCTCAGAATCGATCACCAGGGCGTAGGTGTACACACTCTATGTCTTCTCTTAAACTATGAGATTAAAATCGCTTCTTTCTACGAACTAATTCTTTCTTCCTGTATTATGTCCTTATACACAATCTTTCTTTTATATATTACCACCATTGAATTAACTATTTCTATGAATTTGTTATTCATCTTGTTGTGCTAATGCGATATGGCAACTTGGACCGATACATATATGTGCCTGGTCCTACGTTGTAGCTGACTGACTGACAATTTACAACCACATCAACGAATTTCTTTTGTATCATATAAATGGGAATTAAAATCCCCCTATTTTTGAAATTTAGTTTGACAACCGAAATTAAGATAAAATATATTATTCATCGAGATGTCCTAGAATCTCCTAATCAGTTTCTATATATCTATACGAAATAATATTTCACGATAATGTGTCGTCATATTTTCCCTATTATAACTACTTCTCAAAAGGCGTAAACGCCTTATATCCAACTATTGTATTAGTGAACGGGAACGCAAGTGGATAAAACCAATTTACTGTTTAATGCAAAATCACACAATTAGTTAGTAAAATATAAAAATCATATATTAAGAACATGATTTGCACATGTTCGTTACTTTGTGCTTTACATACTCTATTATTCCTCTAATTATGTTGTTATTTCGATTGCTGTCAGATTCCCTACCTGTTTTCTTCATTGCAATCTTCTTCTGCCAGGTAACCTGTATTCGATCAATGCTACATACTACTTATATGTGTCAACATAAGCAGCATACACAACACTGGTACTAACCGATAGTACATAAGAAATAAAAACCATTTCATGCCCTTATAATCTCTGAAGTCCAAACATCTGTTCTTAGATCAGCAATCAATGCCAAAATATAATTTTAGACTAGGATTGGGGAAATTGTATCTCTACAATAAGTTATTATAATGGCATATGTTTATTTAATACATCTCAAATGGCAGTATACAACAATCTACAGTATAATGTGGATAATGATTAGACGTCAATGTACTTTTTACCAACAATGTTGTCTAGTATGATAGCCAATGTCTTATTAATCTAACTGGCTTAAAAAGATATGTCATTAGAATCACATTCCTGTTAGTAGTAGCAGTACAAACATTCACGTCGTTTCAAAGCTAAGCTTGAAAATAATTTTATTTTTCACTTAGATTAGTCATCATAGTCAGTAACTAGTTATCTATTCACCTTAAAAATAACTAACTTTTTATCATTATAGGGTTGTGGAGATAACTAACTTTTTGATTAAGATCATGAACCGATTGATGTTCGACCATCATTGAAAACCGTTGGATGCCGGCTCAGTGATCTAGAGGTTAGGCGTTCTTGCGCGAGATTGAAGGTCCTGGGTTCGATTCCCGCGAGGATGCACACTGCTGAGGAGTTTCACAATAGGACGAAATGGCCGTCCAGTGCTTCCAGGTTTTGAATGATGGTCTAACATCAATCGATTCATGATCTCAATCAAAAGCTAATTCTTCGTAAGAATAAGTTAACTTTTTAAAACTATTTTTCAAAGTCGATGAATCGATATGCAATAAAGTATAAACTGTTGTTGTTGTTATATTTTAAGGAAAAGTTGACCTATTAAACTATTCAATAGTATTCTTTTTCATTCATTTGAATAACTGAACATGTTTACTACTGTTCATTTAATCTAATGTTTAGTTAAAAGTACATAATTACAATAGCTACTTATTCTATCCCATATAAAATTGATTGTACTTGCAACAATATGATTATGTACTAACTAAGAAT